TCGAACGCGGCATTAAAACCTCATTTATTATCCAAATTTGGCTTCCACGGGAGATATCGCTTGCCATATGTTCCATGCTTAAACATTTGATCTGTCTTGATCATGGGTAAAACACAATATTTAACAGGGTGAAAGAATGTCAGTCAAAGTTTTTGGTAATGTCTATAATATTGTATTTAAGATTGTAACTTTGATTTGACATTTTAATTTTAGACACATTAGAAAGTGCCCCAGTCCACTTCCTCGTCCTTTCACTCGATCTGATGGTTATGATAAAGGTTGAGGTCCATCCTACAGGGTAACATGTCATGCAAAATACATCCTGTTAACTTCACAAACAGTCATAAACGGCTTATAGTTTTCATACGTTTGCTGTAAAGACGACAGAAGTTCCTTGGCTCCTTGGTTTGTTGTTTAACGCCGCAATATTCAAATTATATGGCGGCTGTCTTTAAATAATCGTGTCTGGACCAGACAATCCAGTGATCAACAGCATGAGCATCAATCTACGCAACTGCACGACAGAGATATTCCTGATACATCAAATTAGTTTAGAGGATATCTCCATATATTGTTCCAATATGCAAACAGGAACCCCTTCTCTGGGACAGATTTTATAGATTAAATTCCCGATTTAAAACATCTTCCCTGTGCAAAAGGACTGACTCTTCTTCCAGAGGAAGAGGGGCTGCGGGGTAGCCTAGTGATTAAAGCATCAAGTCAAAACATCGATTACACAACAGTCTCGTTTCCTCTTGACTGGGTTCCGTCCTATTGCACAACTTAGTACAATAACCAGTCCAGAATTTTGAGACCAATTCATTTAACTGGACACATAAATATTAATCAGTATTATTTGATACATCTAATCACTTGTATATTGCAACACTACGCTCCTTATAATCTTTGCAAACATGTCGTGCAGCGTGCTCTGTCGTACAGCAAGCTGACAAACAGAAACATGGAAATCTCAAAACGAGGCTCTGCCGCTAGAAACGTTTGGCGGTCTGGTACGGACTTGATTTTATTACAATCACATTGTGCTGTACAGAACTACACTGAATACGCGCAACGGAAACATAACAGGTGTAACCAGTGAGCCAGACGCATTGTGAATTATTTTACGACCTCATCAAACTAGCGTGGACTGTGACGTCTTAGTTAAGGTCATGCTGCCTACACCTCGCCATACAATATAGAAATACGATTAATTAAATTTCAGTTGTAAATACCATTTTCTTATGAAACAAAGAATTGGAATTCAGTGTAACCATAGTTGTTTGTGATGTCTATTTCACTTTCACACGAGAACATTCGGATCGGCTGAAAAGAAGGTCATTGTCTGAATAGGTTAATGAACCTCATGTTTCGGTTTGCGCTCGTCGAGCCAAAGACCCAGGTTCGATTTCCTACATGGGTACAATGTGTGAAGCCCATTTCTGGTGTCCCCCGTCGTGATATTGTTGGAATATTGCTAAAAGCGGCGTAAAACTAAAACTCACTCACTCACTCTTGTGGAAGATTCATGTAAAGCGGAGTACGGGCTTACAAAGGCAAAACGATATTATAATTCTTAGGGTTAAGAATTTGACGGGAGCAAAAACACACGCATAACATAAAATAAATACGTATATGTATGTCAAATCTATTATTTTAAATTCATTTCTTTAAAAGGCATTAAACCAGATTGTTTTTACTGCCTTAAACGCACACGGCGAAAACAATAAGTTAACCTATAACTTAAGGTCATGTCGAATAAATAAATTGTGTGTTAGGTAAATTGTGTGTATACGCACAAACAATCCCATGGCAAATAGAATTGTTTATGTGGCAAAACATACATATCTTTTTTTTATTTGTATTTCGACAGACCAAGCTGATTATTTAACAAACAATCTGTAATACAACAAACACAAATGAGAGCGAGGATACTATTCAAAGGTCGTAATTTGTGGTAAGATATTTCGAGAATTGAAAGTCAACCTTGCCATCTTCAATGATGAGACAAAATAGTTTTCTTTCTATTTCTGATACCACATTACGTCCACGCCAGGCATTATGTGTGGGCTTTATATACGTATAGTTATTTTACACGGATTAAGAAATACGTCGGTAGTCTGATTGAGTAAAATCACCAATGCGGCAGAAGTTACTTCAGGGAGACTATACAGTACTATTATAGACTTCTCGTTATAACACAGCTATATTTGTGACAAGTCGGTGGTCTGAAGATTGTGTATAGAAATCGTATTGTCTGACGACTAACTGCTTCTGACAGGTTGATTAACCATGACACGCGTGGCACAGTGGTCCAGTGCACTGTCAGTCGCTATAAATAATTTTGCAGGTGATTTCGTGACATTTGATTGGTTAAACCAACAATTTCTTCAAGTTTACATTTCAATAAACCTTTAAAAAAGTCGGCTTCTCCCACAAGCGGACTGCGCTATCCATATATCATGATTACAGATCATTTAGCAGAGCGGGTGCTGTACTCTGGAATGGATTACCTGAAAATGTAAGAAAATCGGAAAATATCAACAGTTTCCGATCTTGTCTCAAAACCATCCTCTTCAAACGAGCATTCGACTAAGCGCACATGAGCAGGACTCTGGATATGTAGCACTATACAAATGTCTAATTTGATTGATTTGATTTGACAGGGTGGGCGAGTGAGTGAGTGCTGTTTAACGCCGCTTTTAGCAATATTCCAGCAATACCACGTCGGGGGACACAAGAAATGGGCTTCACTGACACATTGTGCCCATGTGGGAATCGAACCCGGGTCTTCGGCGCGACGAGCGAACGCTTTAACCACTAGGCTACCCCACCACCCCAAACAATCTGGGCGAGGTTGTTGCAGTATTGTGAAGGATGGTGTCATTGGCGCTGTGAACAGTTTTGTAGTTTAGGGTATTTTTTTTTTAAAAAATTCGTCGTTTTCTTGCTTTTTTCTGTTTGTTAATGATTGAATAAGTAGTCTATGAAGTTATCTTTGTTGAATATTGTTTCGTGTTCATTTAGATTGTTTCGCTGAATTACATAGGTATATGCACGTCAGGTTTTTTATTTTTCTCCGATTTTACAGCATACATTGCGTCATGTTGTGCTTTGATAGTATGTATACGGTAACGCTTTCAGACAGCTCAGTGGTTTGCAAAGGCATCAACAAGCGACGTACGTTCTTACCTTATATTAGTCCAAAGAATCGATATCAGGTGATCGTGTTACGTTTTCTCGTTCACTGAGTCATAGGTGAGGTGAGGTGAAATGAGTTTTAACGCGATTGCAAGCTAATTTCACTCTTTGTGATCGTGCCAGTGTGCGGACTGCTGGCTTACTGATATAACGTGTGGCAGAGGGAGGGGGGAAGAGAGAGAGTGAGTGAGTGAGTGAGTTGGGTTTTACGACGCTTTTAGCAATATTCCAGCAATATCACGGCGGGGGACACCAGAAATGGGCTTCACACATTTTACCCATGTGGGGAATCGAACTCGGGTCTTCAGCGTGACGAGCCAACGCTTTAACCACTAGGCTACCCCACCGCCCCGAGAGAGTGTAATACAAGTGTGTGAGCGTCAAACACGTGTGTGTGATACAAGTGTGTGTGAGTGTAACACATGTGTGGGAAACACATGTAATACATATGTGCGAGTGATACAAGTGTATAAGATACGTGTGTGTGATAAATGTATGATACACGTGTGTGTGTTTATGTGTGTGTGTGCGTGCGTGCGTGCGCAACATGTGTGTGATACGTATGTGTTTGTGTGTGGGCGTGCGCATGTCAATGACTACGAAGTAGCATGTTCAAGGCCTGCGGAGTTTACTGAGTAGAGCGGCCGAATGATTGCATGGGTGAATAGGTCCCTAGGGACAAACCTTCCTTGACTGCGACTAACATACTCGACGCCGGCTGAATGAAGGTTATAGCACCCAGATGTTATGGATAGTTGCCTATGTTTCTGTCACCAGTTTGTCCATTCAGGACTCCATTGTGGATTCTCTTCCCGGAACAACGCCGAATGTGACGATACCTATTCACGTATTTGAAGAAAACATGGATACATAAGACTTTCATTATAACCTTCCCTAACGGACACGCCTCATATTTTACGTCCGCTTCATTGACAAATTACAACACGACGTCCACAGACGAGCACACATATTTTGACAGAAGTCCTTCCTACAAAACCAACATAATAAAAATACTACCGTGTAATCCCAGTCCATGGAGACGTATTATGATAAGTATCCTATCACTGCAACTGGGGAGAGTCACCATACCACTAACATCAAGTGACGGTCGTTTTCAACAGATTTTCCTTTATCAGTGTAACTAATCTCATCTGGACCAGACAATCCAGTGAATGTTATTTAAAGGAATGGTGCACACCGTACGGATACGAGGATGCACAACTAATACAGTCACCAGCCTGACCACCCTGTCCAGTTGGTGGCCTTTTATGACCAGCATATGATGCCAAGGGTCAATTATTCTAAGCCAGAATCCCTAAGACAAATTCAAATAATCATCATAATTATTTACACATTATATCTTAACTATAGGCTGCACTCAGTGAAGCGTCTCTCTATTGTCGACATTTAATGTTTCATGAGTTTCCCCGTAGGACTATATGCTGATAATTCTTCTATATGCTAGTGCTAAACACCATCCATTCCTTTGAGACAGTAATTAATGTAGATAGTTCATTATAGTCTATGCTTTACATAGTCTCATTCAGCTTTTCACTTCCTTATTCCTTTTTGGTTCTGAAGTTTTTGTATATGTTTTTGTAAGTCGTGCACAATCTTTTCCACACTTTTGTGAATAGATCTATCTACACTAAGTCAAGATTTCTGTCGTCTCTTAAAGTGAAGAGAGAACACTTGAACTGTACAGATAACAATTTCACAAAAGTATATTCATTTCAGAGACTAAAACACTCTCTGCTCCATAAAATGGGTTGTACAAACCAAAATAAACACCACAAAGCATATCATTTTTATGATCATTTATTTTTTCAAATAAATAATTGTACCAGCAAGGCAAATAAATGATATATTCAGAATGTCTGAGAATTCCAATTGTTCACAGTTAATAAAATGATTGTTTTGACGTTACAATGCACCATCATGAAATACATGTATATTACAAATCTTAAAATCCTCACTGCATAGACGTACTTGATAAAATGTTCCCAAATTCCCTAAATTAGCATTCCTGTACAAAGTACCAACACTTGAGACTCTTTGAGATAACATCAGTTTTTCCCATGAGACAGTAATTACATAGTCACTTCATCAATAGATGGAATTCCATGACATCTCACTAATCAGAATGGTGCTGTTCCAAATGAAATCATTCAGATTAATGAAGCATTGGTACAGAGAAAAGTAACTTGTATATGAATAATGATTCTAACCCAGGTTGTCTGGAAAGTACATTTTCAGATTAACAAGTTACAGATTAACGAGGTTTAACTTTACTGTCATGAATATGACCTACAAATGTAAATTATAAAATTCCAGTTTAAGTTTCCCTGTCTAAAGTGACATAAATATATTAACAGCAGCACAATCACAGAATGAAATAAATAACTTGATGTACTGGACAGACAAGAGAATGTTGACATACAAGATAGGAATGTTAGGACAGAAACATGCAGGAAACTCCTGCTCTGGGAATGTTTGGATTTGATATGTATCCGAATTTGATTAGCTTTAAAACACAAATACAAAGATATCAGTATTTGTTAGCAGACTAGTACCCTGAATCTTAGAACATGGTTAATATATTAACCCACTTCAGCAGATTGTGTTGTCGACATTGGAAGCACCATATATGTCTATGTGTACAATTTCATGCTTTTGACAAAGTTTTCAACATTGGACTGGACAGAAATTATATTTAAAAAAAAGGTTATTATGACACTGAAATTTGCATTTGAATAAACTGTGCATTAAAAATAGTAAATGACACAAAGATGAAATACTATTTGTCAATTTGAGATAATGGTATCTTTTAAATCTGATGATTTTCAAAATAACTAAAATCAATAAATATGATGACCTATATCTAAAAGATTTGATTATCAGCCTTAACAGTTCACACCACACACATACAATAATGACTGGACACATTATATACAACTTGCACAGTTTACACACATATTCACACCTTAACACATTGTCTAGGACTCTCCTGTAGTCTCTCCCTCTCCCTGGGTGTCCCCTTCTCCCTGGGTCTCGGTCTCTCCCTGGGTCTCCGTCTCTCCCTGGGTCTCTGTGTCCCCTGCGGTCTCGGTCTCTCCCTGCCCTGTTGTCTCCTCGCCTTTGGTCTCCTCGCCTGTCTTCTCCTCCTCTTCTTGCATCTCCTCTGTTTGTCCCTATACATCACAAAAAGAAAACATTAAAGGATATATACATTTCACATTATCATTCCTATATTACCCTACATGGACACTGGGTCAAGCCAGCAATTGGAGTCACTTACACAGTTTTCCACAACCACTATGTCTACCAACATCAGGTTCCATCAGCACTTGGTCCCACTAACAACCAACCTTAGTTTACACTAGAATACATTAACGCTAGGACAAATTAACACTAAAGTACTGCCGGAAATAGAAAAAAACTGTTTTTAGGCTGTTACTCTGTATCCCTAAAATTTACACAATTGCAAATAGCATATGTCGAAATAACCCACTTCGGTCTAACTGGGCGTTCAGTGGGATGCGTAATAGGATATCCGGAAAAGCATGTTTACTCGTCAAAACGTGCAAAACTTAAAAAAACACGAATAGGTGCTGAAAACAAAAGATCAGACTATAGATGGCAATTAGGTCGCTCAGCCAGGTATGACGACGGACCGTCGATTCACCTGGCATGAAATGCACGTGCTGCCTACAGGCACAAGGGGTCATCTCAAATATATTTTTCATGTGTGTTGACTATGTCTCATCTATTGATTAACATCTTATGTGTCTTTCTTTCATATAGTTACATATAGTTTATGTTGAGATATGTAAAAGAGTATGATACCCGAAAACCATAGAAACGCATCGTAGTATATAGGTGACAGATCGACAGGACTTATATCTCTATGGCCAAGCCCGACCCCAGGTTTTGCTTTTGAGACGGCCCCTCCTATCTGTTTCTTTTTATAGTGACAGTGAGACTGCATGGAGGCTACATCCTTAATAGTTTCGGCATAAAAGTTATTATTTTTTACGTCAGCTATCGTTTATAATGAATCTACGTCTAATTTCAAATTAGGCATTTAAAAAGGGTCCTTTGTAATACAATATCGTGGCACACTAATTTGCATAAAGCCATGGTCTGTTCCAAATAAGTCTTTTTGGACTTAGAAAAAACCTGCATTGCTCATTTCTGCACTAATTTCCCCTCAGTAAAGTCCTTTTTCTCCATTTCCTATCTCTCTACCACCGAGACTGTAGTTAGGCCGAACATAGTTTAACAGATATTTCACACTTTCACATATCAACTACATAAATTGTAGAGATACATGAGAAAATACAGGGTTTTTTTATTTCCGACAGTACTATAGAACACATTAACACTAGAACACACTAACACTAGAACACACTAACACTAGAACACACTAACACTAGGACACATTAACACTAGAACACATTAACACTAGAACACACTAACACTAGAACACACTAACACTAGAACACATTAACACTAGGATACATTAACACTAGAACACACTAACACTAGAACACACTAACACTAGAACACATTAACACTAGGACACACTAACACTAGAACACACTAACACGACCACATTAACACTAGAACACATTAACACTAGAACACATTAACACTAGAACACACTAACACTAGAACACACTAACACTAGGACACACTAACACTAGAACACATTAACACTAGGACACATTAACACTAGGACACATTAACACTAGAACACACTAACACTAGAACACATTAACACTAGAACACATTAACACTAGGACACACTAACACTAGAACACACTAACACGACCACACTAACACACTAACACTAGAACACATTAACACTAGAACACATTAACACTAGAACACACTAACACTAGAACACATTAACACTAGAACACATTAACACTAGGACACACTAACACTAGAACACACTAACACTAGAACACATTAACACTAGAACACATCAACACTAGAACACATTAACACTAGGACACATTAACACTAGGACACACTAACACTAGGACACACTAACACTATACTATGCTGTAAATGTCTAAACCTATTTCTGACCAATCTCACCTCGTCCTGTTTGGCCTCGGGTTCTTCTGCAACAGGAGCTGCTGGTGTTTCCGTGACAACAGGCTCCTCCTTCTCCACCAGTGTGGGGAGCTTAGAGTCTGATGCTGCCTCCTTTGCCCGTTCTTCCTCCTCCGCCTGAATAGAAATATCACAGATATTCCACGTTACTAGAAAGCAAGCCATTTCCATCCGTCTTCCATTCGTGCACACGGAGCAATAAAATTTTTTTACCATCTTCATTTCCACAGTGCAATATATGTAGAATACATTCACAATATACATATGCTCAATATACTTTCACAAATCACCATCATACAATGAATAGATATCTTTGAATATGTTTGCATACTTTATCTCTGTGTATTCAATAGCGTAATATTTTTAGTAATAATGATTGAATACACTTACAATATGTTTTCTGACTTAATATTCTCAGTAAATAGATTGTGGAAGGATGATCAGAAGGTAAAGAACTAGCTGTTACTGCATGTAGAGTAAGCATTATATTTTGTAATTTCAAAATATTTTGATATCTCCCCTACTATGGAGCAATAAATGCTCTGATGACACCTACAGTCTGTCTACTATACATACATAGCCCAGTATACTACAGTCTACATTACACTGGATAGAGTTCACTGGCACAGAGCCGCTGACAGTTGCCATAGGGAACGTGTGTTGCCAGCAACCTTTGTTTCACATTAAGAGAATGTGCATCCAGTTCGCACAAATGCAGAGAATGGATGCAGAAACTGTTTTACTGCATCCAGAGGGACACACAATACTATTCACTGTACCCACAACACATCTATGACTTTGCTAAGTGTTGGGTTGTTTCTTTCAGAGCTGTTACATGTATCATTTCATCCATCAGTCAACATGATCAATGTTAGTTCTAAAGAAAGTATCGAAATGTACAGTTCTATACAACATTACTTCACAGGACCTCATGTTGCCTGCAAGGACTCTTGAAACTAACAATTAGGGGCCCGCAGGACCCCCATGTTTAAAGTCGAGGTAAAACCCGGATACATGAATAAAACAGTGATAGAAACTGTCATGGTTCCTCAGTCTTTGTCAAACAGTCAGTAATAATCCAGCATGCTCAAGGATTTGTTCTCTGAAAGGCATTTTACAAGTTGTAAAGATGAAGGAAAACCAAGTTCTATGGATAGTCAACTTCTTTATTGCAATGAGTGTGTCGTTTCGGTGTAGGTACTAACACCGCTATTAAGCAAGCAGATAACAGAAACCTCACACTCATTGCAATAAAGAAGTTGACTATCCTGAGAACTTGGTTTCCATTTATACTCAAGGATGTCTTTGTAAGTTACAAAAAGTCCTGGCTGTCTGAGCAAGTTAAAGTACTGTCGGAAATGCTAGAAAAATGCTTTTTAGCCTTAAGATCTTTATAAAGGTGATAAATGTACTATGTTGTCAATATATCAACTCGCCTATTGTCTACCTAATTTTTATTTCAATCGATTTAACATTCCCATGCATTTAAAGGGCAGTTTACAGGAGAGAATTTGGTACCAAAACAGCAACTTAATATTTTTTCAGAGTTCAACAACAGAAATCTGAAATAGTCTTTACATTTATGCTAATAATACAGGTGGTGTAAAAATATGAATTAACGTTTATCCTAAACAAATAAATGTTGAATGTTTGTGTTACTTTACTAAAGTATCGTTTTTCTTTATTGAAGAAATATTAAGATAAATGTTAAGTCTTGATAAATAAGTTTCCCGTCATGCATGCACATCTTTATCACAGCGTCCACTATGGCCAACGATTTGCAGTCGATTGTTGCAAAGGTTTATAGGTTTTTCTGCTTAAAAGACAGAGGTAAACCTTTCATTAGTTTAGAAAGGGTTTATTACAGAACTTCGTAGAGCTGTTGGCATGTCTTACCAACAAGTTTACAATATTGTAAACAAATCAGACAAGACAGGGACCGTCTCAAATGCAAAACCGGGACGTAAAACCATCCTTGACAACTTTGACAAGGGAGTGCTTAGGACAGGCGGTCTACAAACTTTATGAGAAGAAAAATATATATATTCTAAAGAAGCTACACCAGTGACTTAGTTAAATCTTTGGCCAATGTTCACAACTAGATTAAACTGACGAATTACATCCATATTTTTTCAATGAAATATACTGTTGACATGCAAAACATTTATTAAAAGCGTTGCACATTTCTACAAGCAGTCGATAAGATAACACAAGTGATAGGGTTCTTTCCAATGTACAGTAATTCAGTATGTTTATTTCAAAAACACACACATACACAAATGATCCCATACATAACTGATAATGTATACTATAAGTACACATATTCAACATTTTGCAGAAAACATCTATTGAGATGACCCTAAGCCCGTACCCCTTATTTTCTAAGTTCTTGGTATGCATCAAGGCATGTCTGTATTCCCTCGGTCTACAAGTCAGTACAATTCCAGTATGCTCTGAATTTTAAATATAAGGCTGTCTGCAGCAAGTACAGTACAATTCCAGTATGCTCAAGGCTGTCTGAGCAAGTCAGTACAATTCCAGTATGCTCAAGGCTGTCTGAGCAAGTCAGTACAATTCCAGTATGCTCAAGGCTGTCTGATCAAGTCAGTACAATTCCAGTATGCTCAAGGCTGTCTGATCAAGTCAGTACAATTCCAGTATGCTCAAGGCTGTCTGAGCAAGTCAGTACAATTCCAGTATGCTCAAGGCTGTCTCTGTATACTCAAGGCTGTCTGATCAACAATTCCAGTATGCTCAAGGCTGTCTGATCAAGTCAGTACAATTCCAGTATGCTCAAGGCTGTCTGATCAAGTCAGTACAATCAAACAGTATATTCAAGGCTGTCTGAGCAAGTCAGTACAATTCCAGTATGCTCAAGGCTGTCTGAGCAAGTCAGTACAAGTTAGTACAAGTCATCACTCCAGTATGCTCAAGGCTGTCTGATCAAGTCAGTACAATTCAAGTATGCTCAAGGCTGTCTGATCAAGTCAGTACAATTCCAGTATGCTCAAGGCTGTCTGAGCAAGTCAGTACAATTCAAGTATGCTCAAGGATGTCTGAGCAAGCAGTAGAGCAAGTCAGTACAATTCCAGTATGCTCAAGGCTGTCTGAGCAAGTCAGTACAATTACAGTATCCTTAAGGCTGTCTGACAAGTCAGTACAATTCCAGTATACTCAAGGCTGTCTGATCAAGTTAGTACAATTCAAGTATACTCAAGGTATACTGTCATGGTAAGTTGGTAACATTCCACTGGACCAGACAAGTCGATAATCAGCACTGATCCACTTGTTCCAGATAGACTGTTTCTATCTGCACATTGTCTCACCTTCCTCTTGGCTGCTTCCTCCTGGCTGAGCTTCTTGGCCTCCTCCTTCATCACTTCCTGTCTCTTCAGCTCTACTTCATGCACCTCCTTCTCTTTATCCAACTCATCAGCATCTTCCCCTTCCTGTCAACACCCATTTCAACATGTTCAATACACACTTCATTGCAGAACACACATTTCATATTGTTACACACATGCTTTATTACACAACACAACATATTCAACACACACTTGATTAAACAACACAGATTTCAACATGTTCTACACATGCTTTATTGTTGTACACACATTTCAACACACACTTCACTACACAACATTTGCTCATAACAAAGATATATTTTAAATACATTCATGTATATCTTCATGACAACAGTATCATCTCACTGAGATTCTCAGTACCAAATTGTCATCAGTCCATGGGAAGAAAAACCATCTTGTGACCAGTGCTAGCAATCAAGGGGCAGGTAATTTGGTTTGTCTGTCCTCTGTGGACCCCCTAAGATTTTCTCTGCTACTATTTTGGGACTGTACAGTTTGAACACAGTTAAGAAATAAAACGGCTTTACAAGACACACCATGGACACGACTAAGTTATGGTGTTAACCTCTTTAAACTGACCTTGGAACAACATTCAACACAAGGTTTTCAAATGTTAAATATAAGCACAGTGTTCGCGAATAGTGTCTGATCCTCTGACAAATCCGGCAGATTCGCCAACGGTCCGATAGAAGTCTACAACCCACCAGCCCCAGTGTCCAACTGTATATTTCACAATGACTTTGACTGAAGTTGTTATATATGTGACATTTGACACTTGTTTGCTGTTCACTTTATCTTAATTTTTCTTATGTTTGTTAATAATTTCAAAGCTAATTATAAGAAATGTTAAATCTGAAATGTGTGTTTAATTTTATTCCATGGGTCCTGTGTATTTTCAAAGGGTCAGACAGACATCTTAAACTTACAGGACCCAATGTCCTGTTACTTTGAAACACCATTCGTGAACACTGTAAGCATACATGGATGGATTGGTTAAGAAAAAATTAATTGTTCTAGAAAATACACATAAAATAATATTGCCTCAGGTTTAACTTTTCCATTTATTATTATTTTTCTTCTATCATAATCTGTGACTCATCAGGGTGTCGTTGTACACAACCTTAGTGCTAAGACTACCTTAAGTCTATGTTAAGGTATGGGAGTTACGGTCAACTTTGCGCTAATTTTTTAAGGTTGTTTTGTACAATGGCACCCAGAACATCAGAGAGTCATTTAGTACCCACCTAATACAAAACGGTCACCTTAGCGTTAATTTTTTTAGGTTGTTTTGTACAATGGCACCCAGAACAACAGAAAGTCATTTAGTACCCACCTAATACAAAACGGTCACCTTAGCGCTAATTTTTTAAGGTTGTTTTGTACAATGGCACCCAGAACATCAGAAAGTCATTTAGTACCCACCTAACACAAAACGGTCACCTAAGCTAATTTTTTAAGGTTGTTTTGTACAATGGCACCCTGAACATCAGAAAGTCATTTAGTACCCACCTAACACAAAACGGTCACCTAAGCGCTAATTTTTTAAGGTTGTTTTGTACAATGGCACCCTGAACATCAGAAAGTCATTTAGTACCCACCTTATACAAAACCCTCTTGATAAGTAAAATGATTTCAGATACCGACCCAAATATCTTCCCATTTATGTCTTGGGACTTTCAGAATTTGGCACCAAAAATGACATACCTGGATGTTTTGACTCGGCATAATGTAACTTAAATCATAAAGGAAACACAAACCTGAAACTTGATAATTATTGTCATTCCACATTCCTCATCCCACCCACTCAGCCCTGTGAGGCACTCACCTTCTTGTGAAGTTTCTCGTTTTCTATCTGTTTATACAGCCAATGTGCGATGTATTCTATGGGATCAGCAGGTCGCTTCTCCGCTACCTCGGTGAGACAAGTCACCAAACAGTCCCCGACATGCTTCTTCAGGTAGGCTGCTTCCATTGCCATGGTAACGACTTTTGTGATTATCCTATTGAATCATAAACTTCACATGAAGAATAAACAACAATCAAACTGACCACATTTTACTCTGAATCATGTTATTTTTCCTTCCACTCAGCCTGTAGTGAAATGCTTTACTTCTAAATAATGCATTTCTAGATTTTTCCCAGGTTCTGAATCTCCCATTGCACAGGGGGTCCAATCCAATCCAATGTAGCTATTCGTTTTTGTCAGTATTATATATTTGCAGAGACATGTCAAACATTCTAAGTCTAAACAGTACATATAACTGTTTGTCTGTATGATGCATAGGGGATGTACTACAAGCTGTAAACACAAGTATTAGAATACACATTAGGCTGAAATGTTTAGGTAGAAGGAGAGAGGTAATATATCACTTGTCCTCTCTTTAACAATTTCAAGGATATTCTTTAAATTTAGCAGTGCACCCATCAAATACCACCAGATAGCTATTTGTGTTATATGCTTCTAACATTTTAGTATGAGGCAGCGGTACTATTTTTAAAATAGACTATTTAGAGTCGGTGATGAAACTGAAATATTGTTGAAACAGAAAACATTACTTCGTTTGGATTTAACATTCTAAACAATTCTTTCAAATCGTAAATTACAAATCAACAAAGAAATATTACTCTAATATCCAGGTTGCATAATGTTACATCCATCGGTGGAATGCTTCAACAAACACACTGTGTTTCATTTGACAAAACAAATTTACTAAGTAGCTCTACTCCAGTATTTGTTTCAAGTCGTTGTGTAGAGACTATCTAGAGTGCAAGCACACGCGCTTTTTATTTTAGCGATTCGGCTAAACGTCCAACAGTACAAACTAAAAACCTACTTGTTTAACAAGGCATTCCAACCAAACATATTACGAGCCCCATTTAACTGCTTATCTTGTGAAAGCGTGTAACGATTCACAATATGCTTCTATGTTCGTGATACTCCAAGACGTTTCATTATTTACCAACAGTAACGTGCATTACCGATACGTCCAGAACGTCTAGTTTTCTGTCTAATCCGTCCTCGCAGCATTAGATATGTAGTCTACATTTCAAAATACATCATACTTACGTATTTTGTCCCAGAAATGATTCAATATGTGTTAACAAAGAGATGTTAAAATCTAAAATGCCACATTATTTTCTCCCAGCCTCGTTATCGAAACCGCTAATCGCTTCCTTAGCTACGGTCACGTGACGTCGTTGCTATCTGGCTGGGGGTCTGTCCACGCTTCAATGTGTCGCGCTGTAATATAGAAGGGGAGCCTCTCTCTTCAAAGGTTCCACATTCATATTCAAAATGAACGCGCGACAACCTGGTGTTCCGTCGGGAAACAACAACAATGAGTTTGAACCACCCACTCTTAACCCAAGAATGCTTTTTACAGGTAAGTTAAGGGGTTTTTTTTCATCATAAAAATAAAAACAAAATATAATTTTGTACATTGTTTTCTACATATTTAGAAATTTAGAATATTAAGAAATATTTAGTTAGTCTGTATCGGTTGGGATAATGTCACTCACCCAAACTGGTAAATGTGTATAATATATATGTTTAGGAATAATAAGTTTACAAACAAAATTTTAAGTAAATGTTTACAAGAAAACGCGGTTAATGAAAAGAGAAAACAACCCAATTGTACGGATGTCCACATCAGATAAATAATAAACTTGACAGACATAAGAACCAAGTTAAATGTTTTAAGTTAAATGTTCATGTAAACAGTTTCTATTTCCAATGCCAAGTTAATTTTTATATATTATATGTTATGCAAAATTTCAACAAATATTGTTTCCAAGCCGATTAAAAGAATGTGTAAAAGATATAAGCATGCATAACTGATAACGCGTTGAAGCAGACAGCAATATAACGGATTTCACATACACATTCCAAAGACTCTTAGACACAAGCTCATGTCTTATCGATCGCATGACATTTTTTACGACATCTTGCATTAACCTCGTAACCGACTTGTGATAAAATGAGCCTATGATATGTAATCTTCCCGCAACGCGACTCGGGGTATATTTTGCTTTTCAAAACCCTGTCAAACGAAACTGATAGTCAATAAGACGTCAGCGCAAGTTGTGAGTGGACATCTGTCAAATTTGAGGACATTTCTGAGATCGACTTTCGTAATCCTTATCTGTTTGCTGAAGTCCCTCAACGAGCAATAGCAAACCAAAATCAAGAATAGTTCTCAAATAGCGGTACTCATATTTCTTTACACTTTTCAAGCAAAAGACAGCATTTCTATTATTGTTGTTGTTGTAGTTGTTCGTGGTGCTGGTGACGTTGGTATGATCATTATTGTTTGATATTATTATATTGCATAACTTCCATTATGTATTTCTTTCACCGGCTGCAGTAGAACTTTCTCCCACCTATATCGAGGCTGCGTTGCTTACCACCCAATCTGTTACAACAGGCTCGACCGAGCCGAGGTTTAATGTGTGAATGGTTGAAGTTATAGGGCAGATTATCTCAAGATAAAACTGAGGCTTAATGAATAGCTCTCTATAAAACCCGCCATGATTTATGAACGCTTAATTTCCCCTTCAGTGTAAAGAACAAGCCACTACACTAAAACGATTACATACTGGAGACCTTTCTCTGAATACAGATTATGAACGCCTAGGCGACATACCTGTCTTATTGTGAAGGGGTTCTTTTCTAGACAGGTTTCGTGTTTGGTCGACATTGCATACTTAACATGTTTGTAGTGGGTCTTTTTTCATCAAAGCAATAATCTTAAATCAATTAAAAGTGATTGCGATCGTTTTTAAAGTATACTTTTTTAACAGAACTGACGAATATCATGTCATATTACGAAAGAGAGAGGGGAGGGGACTGGGGGAGTGAGAGAGTAGATTTGAACACTTGTCGTTTTGATCTAAATGCCTTTTTGTAAAACTAGTTCTATTAGCGAGTACAGTGTTTGTTCTCTAATTAGCATACGCAGCGAGAATTTTATACGAGAGTGTATTAATTATTCATTGATAACTATACCAACGCGCGAACATATGCAATATGGACAGCAAATACATGCATCGATACCGCTGAATTATTTCCTGATCATTGACATACAGACCTATCAAACATTCTACACCATGGATTCAATAACAGTCAAAATCAATAAATCCTGCCTGAGACAAGTATGTACTATATTCGTTAAGCACTGGGACAACAAAAGGGATCTCGAAAGTGAATATGTACCTCCTAATAAAATTCGTGTTCTGATATGCACTGGTCACAGACACCGCTTTTAAAAATTAGATGTATACTTATGAGGTTTTGCAGTTTAAGACATACATCAGGGTCTTATTTCGGCGTTCATGACCAGGACTCGTGTGGAGGGTTTGGGGAAGGTTACTGGGGTTGTGTTCCGTGTCAGATGTAAGAGAGCTGAGCATGCAAGGGCAGGTATGCATGTCCATTGTAAAGGCGCATAGGTTTAAAGTTGACAGGGAAATATAAAGGCACTTTCATAAACATAGTGTGAGTTGCTGTTCCACTCCCTCATATGCCGGTAGTTCTACAGGTGACGTGAGGTGAAATTGGGTTTAACGTCGTGCTTGAGAATATTTCGCTCATATGACGACGTGCATGCGTGTATGTGTATGTGTATGTGTGGCTGCTTGTACTAGCCCAGACTTAAGCTGGTTTTATAGTGCTAGCCCACTAAGATACCATGCCGCAGTGAAGCATGAATACCCCACTCAGACACATTATACTGACTCCGAGCCGACCAGTCCTTGTTGTACCCATTAATGCCGAGCGCCATGCAGGCAGGGACCAACAAGTACCATATTTTAACGTCTTATCCGCGACCTTCCGCTCTCCGGGCGGACGTTCTAACCACTACGCCACGGAGGCGTCCGGTAGTTCTACAGTCGAGTGTTACCTGACTGACTGACTGAGTTTGGTTTTTACGCCGCTTTTAGCAATATTCCAGCAACATCACGGCGGGGGACACCAGAAATGGGCTTCACACATTGTGCCCATGTGGGGATTCGAACCCGGGTCTTCGGCGTGACGAGCCAACGCTTTAACCATTAGGCTACCCCACCGCCCCAGTGTTACCTGAGGACATATGGCAGGGAAGGGACGAAATGTGAACCTTTCTATTTAAAACTCCGATGTTCGGTTTGCATTGGCTGTGATCAAATAGATTAATCCTCAAAGTAGAGGGATTATTAATGTTTTATACTTTGATTAGATTAATTCGGACACTTTAACACAAGTGCGTTTATCGAAGAGACAGCAAACGATATCGCCAAAGAAATTCAGGAACTAGAATTTCCGACCCCTTGATCAATGTCTTTTTTGGTTTAAATTAAGCTCGATAGAGATATCATGATATAGAAAAGGACATAGTAGGAATTAACGAATAATACAGCACCAAATGTACCTGACCCAATCAAAACGTCTGATCTTGACATTAGGTCCAGTGAATAGTTTGTGTGAAGCCCATTTCTGGTGTCCCCGTCGTGATATTGCTGGAATATTGCTACAAGCGGCGTAAAACTAAACTCACTCACTCAGTGATTAGTTTGACACTTTTTTTTTGTAAATTTGTACACCCGCACATTAAGATTCATTTACATTTGCTTAATTTTCAACAGCTGTCAATATGAAAACAGTGAATATCCACAAAGCATATGTTGGTTGTTTACATCGCCTTCTTAGGCCCCCTAACATAAGCCATTACCAGCCTGTGTCTGTGGGCCGTTTCTGTAACACGTGTGTGTAAGTACATTGAATCCCAACGGGACTCCTACAGTTACGTGCATTCATCCAGCACACTGCTGATACACGGTATTGTTTTCCCTTATTGTACTTGGTCATCGATTTCCGCCCACAAAACAAATCAACAGAATTACAACCCTGATCTCTGAATAAGACATGAGTAATGGATGCTACAATGGCTCTAATGACTTACACATCGCTTGCTGAAGAGATGCTTGACTGGTCTCTGTCAACTCCTTACCGTAAGGAAACAGTTCCCAGAACAAACAAACAGGAAGCGTGTCAGGACCTATCATCTATATACTGCGAAACCCCCTTAATCCGGACGATGCTATAGTTAAATTGTCCAGATTAGCAAGTGTTCTTATTAACGAATCATGAGCATTGTGTATTGTTACGTATATGTATGTGTTCACTGATATAATCCGCCAGAGCGGCATCCGGATATGTTCGTTATATAGTCAATGCTAGTCATAGCTATAGCCGTGGCAGGATCCGCTGATCTCGGGATTTAAAACTAGAACCGCCCCAGTTATATAACCGTTGGTACGTTAGCACAATATTCTGATGCTTCAAGTAGGTTGTACGCCTCTGAGGCCTTTCCACATCCTATGCACTCACTCACTCTAGAACCGTAATACATCTACTTTGAATGGATGATAGAAGCGTGATTGCTGTCACCAAGATCCCTGTCATGCATTTCCTTGTCCTCAACAAAATATAGCTGTATATGGGTTAGGAATATAAAGTAATATTATCCTATACCAAATATATCAAAAAGATATGTTTAAGCTTTGAAGGAGAAACCTTTAACTTCACATATTCTTTTTGATTACACAACAGTCTCGTTTCCTCTTGACTGGGTTCCGTCCTATTGCGCAACTTAGTACAACGACCAGTCCTGAATTTTGAGACCAATTCATTTATCTGGATACATAAATATTAATTAGTATTATTTGATACATCTAAGCACTTGTATATTGAAACACTACGCTCCTTATAATCCTTGCAAACATGTCGTGCAGCGTGCTCTGTCGTACAGCGAGCACTGACAAACAGAAACCTGGAAATCGTGGAAAATCTCAAAACGAGGCTCTGCCGCTAGAAACGTTTGGCGGTCTGGTACGGACTTGATATTATGTCAATCACATTGTGCGTTACAGAACTACACTGAATAAGCGCAAGAGAAACATAACAGGTGTAACCAGTGAGCCAGATGCATTGTGACTCATTTTAAGACCTCATCAAACAGGGGCAGTCTGTGACGTCTTAGGTAATAAGGTCATGCTGCCTACACCTCGCCATAAAATATAGAAATACGATGTTATTAAAGTTTAAAATTAAAATTCAGTTGTAAATACCATTTTCTTATGAAACAAAGAATTGGAATTCGGTGTAACCATAGTTGTGTGTGATGTCTATTTTCGCTTTCACACAAGAGAATTCGGACAGGCTGAAAAGTAGGTCATTGTCTGCATAGGTTATGCATTAAGGAGACTCATGTTTCGGTTTGGTATAGATATTTTTACTGTATGTGTACCGCTATTACCTTCTAGCCAACGATAAAGTTTACATCGAAATGTTCATGTCGGTATAGGCGCATTTCTGGTATATGTGGTATTGGACATTTATAAGTAAGCTTCCACAATTGGTACTCCAGCCAAGTATATTTCATAACATCTCACTAGATGAGGATCAGGTGGTCTAAATGTGGGACAGGACTTAAAGTGAGTCATCGTTACCTGGGTGCTGATCGGCGTTAACATTAAATTATTTACCCATCGCCATGATACTGGGCTATTGCTGACTCACACGACAGGGGATCGGACTCCTCCGCCATATGTCCCTATTTCATATTGCCTTCGTCATCCGCGACCCCACCTGCTGGAGAACAGGTTGATAACGTCCTAGCAAATGCATTACGTTGTGTGTTAGACAGAACAAACACCACGAGGAGAAGACACCGCCGTGTGCATGTGGGCGATTACACCGTCGGGAGTGGTGATTGATTTGTCAATATATCTGTTATATCAAGAGCAACTAAAGAGATCGCCCAGGTGCACATGTGATGTAGGGCTGCGTGACAAATACATTAGTGTGAATCGTGATATCGATTATATGTGTGTAGATGTGTTCGATCAGTATATTCATAAGGTAGTTGTGTTCTTTAGAAGCCGTACACATTATGTTTACATGCTGCAGATGAAAAATAGGATTAATCCCAAACGAGTAAATATGGCAAAACCAAATCTGTCACGTCTTATTTACCTGGGCCCAGTAAACTCCCTCATATTTGTTACATCAGCTACCATTATAACTATTCTTAATATACCACTGAAACTACCCTTACTACCATTATAACTATTCTTAATACCAGTGTAACTATCCATACTACCATTATAACTATTCTTAATATACCACTGAAACTACCTTTACTACCAGTGTAACTATTCATACTACCATTATAACTATTCTTAATACCACTGAAACTACCCTTACTCTACCATTGTAACTACCCATACTACCGTAAAAACTCTTCATACTGCCACTGTGATTACCCGTACTACCATAATAACTATCTATGCTACAATTATAACTATCCACGCTACCATAACTATCCTTACTACCAGTGTAACTATTCATACTACAGTTATATCTCTTCATACTGCCACTATAGCTATCCATACTACCATTATAACTATCTAATATACCAATTGAAACCATCCACACTACCATAACTATTGTAACCAGTGTAACTATTCATACTACAGTTATAACTCTTCATACTGCCACTATAGCTATCCATACTACCATTATAACTATCAATGCTACAATTATAACTATCCACGCTACCATAACTATCCTTACTACCAGTGTAACTATTCATACTACAGTTATAACTCTTCATACTGCCACTATAGCTATCCATACTACCATTATAACTATCAATGCTACAATTATAACTATCCACGCTACCATAACTATCCTTACTACCAGTGTAACTATTCATACTACAGTTATAACTCTTCATACTGCCACTATAGCTATCCATACTACCATTATAACTATCTATGCTACAATTATAACTATCCACGCTACCATAACTATATCCTTACTACCAGTGTAACTATTCATACGTGGTGGTTATAACTCTTCAGGTAATCGGTGAACAGGGTCGAGCTCGGAGAGCTGGATCCATACTACCATTATGACTATCTGAAGTTTGCTACACTTGAGTCCTGCCCCACAACGAAGCACATGTGACACATCCACCTTAGGCAAGTGACGCTCACCCAGCAGGAAAATGGGTACCCGGTGGAAAAGTCATATGACTATAACCTTCTAGCGCCTAACAGGAAGCTATTCATCCGTGCTACTTGATTATAGCGCTATGAGCATACCTAGTGTGGAGTTTGGCGCTATATAAATGGACACATTATTATAATCTATGCTACAATTATAACTATCCACGCTACCATAACTATCCTTACTACCAGTGTAACTACCCATACTACAGTTATAACTCTTCATACTGCCACTATAGCTATCCATACTACCATTATAACTATCTATGCTACAATTATAATAATTATAGCTATCATACTACCATTGTAATAATCCTTACTATACTGTTATAACTCTTCATACTACCAGTGTAACTAACTATCCACACTAACGTTATAACATTTCATAACATCCATACCGCCATTATACATATCCATAATACCATTATTATTAGGTATACTGCCGTTATAACCCGTCACACTACCTTTGTAACGACCCATACTACCATTATAACTTTCCATTCTACCATTAAAACTATCCTGTGTCTTAAAGAAATCGTCTCCAATTAACATTATTTAACCTTTAAAGTCGTCATCAGCTGCCAAGTTGATATGTCAGGTCAGATATACTGAGGGAAAGCAAAAAAATAAGGGATGACATGAAAGCACAAGTGTTCATTTCTTTTGTTCCAAGGTTTCGTCACAAGCTTTGTATCGGATAGCTTGTCGAAAAAACCTGGACAAAATAAAGGAACACTTGTGCTTTCATGTGATCCCTTATTTTTCCCCTCAGTATATATACATGTATTTCTAAGCTGAAACCCACTGATGATAATAATGGCAAGTTAACCTCACACAGCCCATGTATATTTTCGCCTGAGCCTGATGGAAGGATTACTTGGTAATACCAATACCATACATGCCACATCAACCACGGGAAGCAAATGACAATGTCGTATTTTTGTAATACTTACAAAACATTTAATCTCAAATATCGACATTCATCTTGTCTCAAACTGTACACTGTATTTTTTATTAGCACTCAATGCCTTGCTGGACGAATACCATTAACTGCTCCACGCACCTGGCAAGTGAATGTAATACAAAGGGTGTACCGCTTGATCGAGCTACCGATGCATTGCAAATGTCAATGGTTCGATGTGGCAATACATTGATGTTCAAGAGTGAAAGTATTAATAGTTGACATCGATGCAGCTCTAGACTATCGATTGCTTGTGATGTAATTCTTTCTCACCGTTTACATAATTCCAAAACACAAAGCGCTTGACACGTGGGCATCCTTTTAGAAAATAGGCACCACTCCCGCTCCCCTAAGACCCCTCAAACAATCTATGCTATATGTCTATAGACTCGGCAAGTATAAGCTTCAGTCATCGTACTGAATAATGCGAGTACGAGGTTGACAGAGCTTGACACGTGGGCATCCTTTTAGCAAATAGGCACCACTCCCACCCCTAAGACCCCTCAAACAATCTATGCTATATATCTATAGAGATCGGCAAGTATGAGCTTCAGTCATCGTACTGAATAATGCGAGTAATTAAATCTAGGTTGTAGAACGGTACAGATGGTTATGAGGCATGTTGTACAAAATGACAAACTGTATCGAAGCAGTGGTGTACATGGTATCATCCCTGATTCCCCGTGAACCAGTCATATAATGTTCATTACTACTATTTTTCCGAAAACCGAGCGTTTTTAAAACATGATAATAATAGGAATACTGTACTATACTACAGATAAGCCTGATAGCCATCACCTTAAGCTTGCCATTTGTGTTAGTCTGTCTCATAGTTCCTGAACCAGCTTATTTTCCCTACTGCCTTGACCTCCCTGCACTGCTGAAGCTCTAAATGAAGCAAGTCCAGACTTCCTCAGATTCACGTTCTCAACCTCTCATTTCACTCTGTCGGGGCGGTGGGGTAGCCTAGTGGTTAAAGCGTTCGTTCGTCACGCCGAAGACCCGGGTTCGATTCCACACATGGGTACAATGTGTGAAGCCCATTTCTGGTGTCCCCCGCCGTGATATTGCTGGAATATTGCTAAAAAGCGGCGGAAAACCATACTCACTCACTCACTCTCATCTCACTAGGTCTCCTTGTCGATTTAAATGGGATTATTTGTAACCACATTTTATATATATTCAGGACTAAACATTGGTCTACACTTGTGGGGACACCTGCTTCTGAATGCGTTCCGTGTCTTTACACAAATTAATCGTTTGTTGATTAAATCTAACCATACCTAAGGATTATCGATGATGAAGTCGTTCGTGAATTCATCACATTCGGGTATGTTATTGTGAACAACACACAATACCTCCTTCACTATTGTTCCCAGGGCCCGACTACAACAGGGACCACCGTGTCACCGTACAGCCGGAAAACAGGATGGTGGGGATCGGCACCATGTCTCAGGAGGGGACCAGCGAGGTGGACTACCTGTGGAGGGCTGCACCCAACACCCCCTTCCCCCGACCCAAGACCTGTAGAGTAGGGGAGATAGGCTGGGGGATAGAGCAGTTCACCGATTGGTCCATGCCAGTCACGGGGAGACAAGTCATGGTGAGTTGTTGCATCGGTGGGAGGTTTGAAATGGAACATCTGTAAGTTAGATTTGGGGTTAAGAGCACATAATATACATTTAGTAATAATGACTGAACAGCCGCTTTGACACAAAGACGTGGATTATTGTGACAGGTGACTGATTCTAACTTATAGGAGTCAGTATATTATGATTTGGGATTTGGTTATTTATATAACCTTTACAGTGTGAAGCAGACATAGCGATAATTGCGGCAATGATGAAACAGTCATGGAATTAGTTTTACAAATTCCTTTTCATACGTGTGCATATGAATATGAAAACGCTGGCCACAATCCAAGATGGCCACCAAATTTCACGATGGCTGCCATTTGAACGGATAGATATTAATTTGTGTTATATTCTGCAGCTGGTGCCGTCAAAACTACGGAGAATACACACTATAAGGTCTGCATAAGATTTCTTTTTGTTTATTCCTCAGATGGGAGAATTCAGACAGGAACTCGAAAACAGACATGCGCACAAGTACCAGAACCCGTGGTAAGTTTCGACGGGATTCATAGCCTGTTTTACGGAAAAATACAGCCTAGTTCCTACTAAATTGTGGGTGTTGGTTGGTACATAGGCGGTGATATACAATACACGACACTTACGTTTTACCGCTAACTACAGACTGTATATATATTGTAAAGACAATATAGAGACAGCGTTATCTAGTCCAGTTGAGGACAGTGAAGTGTTCGCGGCTAAGGTTGAGTAGGGAGGGGCACTTGTATTCGATCTCAATAGAGACACACGAGGTAGACAGTCGGGTAACATATGTCGTCTGAAGAAATCAATAAATATTAAGTACAATAGAAGTGTCGAGAAGAAGAAAAATGTAGTATATTATTCAACGATACACATATATCCTCCAAACCAACACCATCCATCCACATACTTGTTAACAACATTACTGACAATCTCTTATCGTTAAATGTATAGAGCGTAAGTGAGTGGGTGAATGAGAGACAGGTATCTGGAAACACAATCGCAGCGAATCGGATTCGAATCCAGTCTGGTAGGTTTCTGGCGTGCCCAAGGGACGCAACTCAGCTCTGCCATCCTTAAATACATGTAAACCAGGCACTCTACCAACTCACCCACTTGAATGTTCTTCATCTACAAACCACAATTCTATGATTCGAATTAATCTGGAAGTTAAGGGTTACCCCATTCACTCTATAGGTCAGTTTCAGACATGCCATTTCTTCAGCATTTAAACCTGGACATTGTCTAAAGATCGCGGGGCACAATCCCCCTTTAAACCCGGGCATTGTCTTAAGATCGTGGGGCACAATCCCCTTTCAACCTGGACGTTGTCTAAAGATCGTGGGGCACAATCCCCCTTTAAACCTGGACATCGTCTTAACATCGTTGGGCACAATCCCCCTTTAAACCTGTACATTGTCTTAAGATCGTTGGGCACAATCCCCCTTTAAACCTGGACATTGTCTAAAGATCGTAGGGCACAACCTCCTTTAAAGACTGTTTGTGGATTCCAAGTCTGAAGTTAAAAAGTTAACCGGGAATCAGTCCGTAAAAGAACAAGGAGTGAAACCAACAATCAACAAACAAATGTATTGTAATTAATAAATGTATTCTAAAATTCAGTTCATTAATCAATACAAAGTACCAGTAAGGCAGTACAAGTTCAGAGGTAATATAGTACAAGAGCATTGGTTATACCAATGAATACAACAGTAATCCAACTTACAACTAGGTCTGGACAGGGTATGATCATCACACACAATGCTGCTATTTAGGGTCCCGATCCACAAAGCGTTCGTAGCCTTACGACATTCGTAAGCCTATGATAAACTATAGAGTTACGACATGTCGTAACATTACGAACGCTTTGTGGATCGGCTCCCTGGGCCTAGATTTTCGAAGCTCTCTTAGCGCTAAGATAGTCGTAAGTTAATGTTAATGTATAGCACTTACGACTTTCTTAGCGCTAAGAGAGCTTCGAAAATCTAGGCCCTGGTGTGTAATGTGAGATGAGGACAATAGTCCTACGACATTCGTAAGCCTAAACTATAGTGTTACGACATCTCGTAACGTTACGAACGCTTTGTGGATCGGCTCCCTGGTGTGTAATGTGAGATGAGGACAATAGTCAGCTTTACTTATATACGCAATAATTAGATGCTATAAAAATCTATACTAAGGCTGTAATACTCTGTGGGTCAGAACACGGTAGAAGCCTCGAGAACTCAAGTCTAAATATAGCACACCACTTGTCCCCGTTGCAATCTATAATTACAATGTATATCCCCTGAAACAGTGTTGCACAAGGTATAACACTGCCTCATAACAAGACCTATTTATAATGCAACAGTCATCCCCATTGACCCATCTTCTTCCACGTGTACTGTCTACCCCCAGGTACCCGGGTCCTAATGACGAGGTGGACCCGAACTCGGACGAGGCAAGGGTGATGAACGTGCACCGAAAGCGCCCAGCCACGACAGGGCACAAAACAGCAGGTACAGGTTCACGTCAATGGCGTCACAGAGGACGCACACCGGCAGCCACGCCATTGTACACAGTCAACACATTCACTACGTCATCAGGTAACAGTGTGACGTCATCAGGCGCCACTGTGACGTCAAAGTAGTGTAGTTGCAAAGTAGCTGAAGCTTATGCTCTGTGGCTTGCACTAGAAACCATTTGCTTTTATTAATCAAGTTGCTAGTTTCTTTTTACTAATGCATTACTTTCAGCTTGCTTTACATTCAAAGGAACTTCTTTGAAGCTTCTATTCACTGTTATGACTAGGTTGCTGCTCGGGCTTTGCTTTGAATATAGTTTCTAAACCGTCATTCCAGTCTACATTTCAACCTTTTCTGCCATTAGCGATATTAGTTTAACAGCACTATCAATGGCTGCGGCACTTTTATCATAACGCTTTTAAGTGAATGAATGATTATTTTTGGAATGATACCAATATGTACTAGAGGCAATAATTATGCTCCACACTTACGAAAAATGTTTTAAAAGGATGTTTATAGGCACATCCACGACTGTCTTCCATTGTGGCAACGTAATGTTCTTGTCACACATCGCTCACCATTACTTTCTCGATACGCAGCATAAAACGACCAGATCAAATGGGATGATTTTACTTTTGACAAAACATTATGATCTTGTGAGAATCATCCTGAAATGCTTCTCCACTTGCAGACAACGCCCCTGCAGCAGATGTCCCCCAGGAGAGTCAACCAGTTGAAGCATATTAGGAACAAAGGTAGGTAGACAAGCACCCACAGAGAACGGGTCTATGTGTGGAGTCACATATTTGTAGTTCATGGATATCAAAGACATCATCGGGAACGGGACATATATATGTTCCACTTATATTACATATATGTAACTGATTACTTATCGCTAGCATGGTGTTTGTTGTTAACGCAACCATCGGCTTTGACATGTAACACCTGGGTGCCGTTGTACAAAGCGATCTTTGCGCTAAGGTGACCGACCGTAACTCCCATACCTTAACATAGACTTAAGGGAACCTTAGCGCTAAGGTTGTTTTGTACAACGGCACCCTGGTGTTATTTTTAGTGATCATTTGTCTGTTTGTTGTTTAACGCCGCACTCAACAATATTCCAGCGGTCTGTAAATAATCGAGTCTGGACCAGACATTCTAGTGATAAACATCATAAGTATCGATCTGTGCAGCTGGGATACGATGATCTCGTTAGTCGCCTCTTACGACAAGCATGGGTTACCGAAGAGCAATTCTAACCCGTGATTCAATAGCATGAGTTGACCCCACTTTAACCAGTCCTCCAGGAATGTGACGGCAGATGGCACCACCATTTTGGCTTTCCCTTCGTCTGGTAGAGTCCATGTGGGGATAACCCGGATTGGAACATAGTGATCACTTTAACCAATACAAACACGTTGGGAATTTAGAGAAGTGAAATTCCGATTCTGCAATCTGTAAACAAGAACTGAGGCGGCCTTTCGGGCACAGGGCCTAGATTTTCGAAGCTCTCTCAGCGCTAAGATAGTCGTAAGTTAATGTTAATGAATGGCACTTAGACTATCTTAGCGCTAAGAGAGCTTCGAAAATCTAGTCCCAGGACACTGCGTCATTTTCCCCGGAATGTAATGTAGTATGTAAATGTCATGTGAAAGAAAATATTCCAACCTCTAATGTTGATGACTAGTCCCAGATAATGTTACCATTGGCATTTCGATTCTGACTTGTGACTTTAGTGCCACATTCAGAGAATGGATACACTCTGAACGTGCTGATATTTGATTACTCACCTGTTGATATATTTATTGCTGTTTTATTTTCTACGTTCAAGCAGCACTGACCTTATATATCGCCCACGTTTTTGTGTTTGTGCGAGTGAGTATATATTTACGCCGCACTCTGCAATATTCCAGCTATATGGCGCCGGTCTGTAAATAATAGAGTCTGCACCAGACAATCCAGTGATCAACAGCATAAGCATTGATCTACGCAAATTGGGATACGATTACATGTGTCAACCAAGTCAGCGAGTCTGACCACCTGATCCTGTTAGTCGCCTCTTACAAGCATGGGTTACTGAAGATCAATTCTAACCCGGATCTTTGCGGGTCTGTTCGTGGTTGTCATGGGTACATGGAGATTCCAGGATTGAATAGGTTACAAGTAACCAATGCCTGTAGTGAAAGGCGACGTTACGGACGGGGTGGTGCTGGTCCTATTTCACAAAAAGATCGTATCTCGTCAGTCGTAACTTGTCGATCAATACACAAACTTACGACAGTCGGAGGCTACGATCTCGTTTTGAAATGGGATCCGGTGACGTATTTGGTTGCTTGTCATCGTACCGTCAACTATCGTTGCAGATTGGAACTCGTTATTGGTCATATAAGCACATGTAGAGATTTCTTGACTTACATGTGCGTAATATTACGCTATTTGTGAAAAACAACTTGGCCTGTCATTGCATGTGTTTGTGACGGATGCAAGATACAAGAACCTTTTCGCACACACTTGGTATCATTACTGTTTAATGGTGATTATTATAATGAACAAACTTGATGATAAAGTCGTAACGTAACTCTGATGTTAGCAGAGATAGCTTATCAACATAGAAGGGGTTTGTTGCTAATTACTATCATTTTCATCATCGCTATTGTTGTAATAGGTCATCATTTTTCTTTCCAGTATCAAGTCATCTTTACCAGAGCTCTGCCAGGGAAGGTGCAATAAACAACGAAAATGGAATAGCTGAAGCTCCCACCAAGATGTACATCTCACAGGGCTTCCTGGTTGGACAAAGTTTCATATTTTTGTAAATGACTGTAGAATACTGTCATGGTAATTTTAATAGTGTCGTTTAATCTGTAACCTTATCATTACAATTAATGTTTACTTTTTGTTATTTTTTTATTTGTACCAACCTGAAATATTGGTGGAAATTTAATAAATGGTTCATGAATATGGAATCATTTATAATGTATTCACAGAAATATGCAAATGTAATACTGGAAAGGTGAAAATTGTTCCCTCACAAAAAAAGAGTATTTCAGCAAAGTCGTTCATGATAATTACTTTTAATTACTGTTGATTCAGATTTGAGGATCTCTTGTCAAGGTTATTCCTGTATTTATTGTCTATATTGTACTTATGTTTTCATGTCTTTACTGACCAGTATTATTTTCAACAATCTCAACATGACATACTCAGTTCCCTATTTTGTCTGTGATGTGTGATTCTAATTTATTTATTGAACTTCCAGTTACAGCAGTTTTTGTCAATAAATGTTTAGTATCTGTGAAATCTGCAGTATGTCTTCTGAATACATAATTCTCTGGGGTCTCTGTACTTGCAAATGTCAGCCACTAGTCATGTCAGAAACAGAGTGGAAACAATGAGTTCAGGTACAACTAAAGCAATATATTCAAAACAACTGAAAAAGAGCAGAACAAATCTGTACTGTTGGCTGTACTTTTCCTTCCTTCCCTTACCCTGTGATATGTGTGCATGGTTTTGTAAGGCTGCATGGAACAAATTGTTCATGTACTCATGGCAACGAATAAGGGAACACATGACAGTACAAGTGTTCCTTTATTCTTTTCTAGGTTTCTTCACACGGTATGTATTGCACTGTGGGTGAAATTCTGGGAATAAATAAAGGAACACTTGTACTTTCATGTGTTCCCTTATTTGTTTCCATGAGTATATCTATGGTCCTGAGCGAGGATGGTTTCACGCCGCTTTCAGCAATATTCCAGCTTTTAGCAATATTCCAGCAATATCAAGGTGGGTGAAACCAGAAAAGGGCTTCACTTATTGTACCCATGTGGGGAATCGAACCCGGGTGTTTGCATGACAGGCAACCACTAGGCTACTCCACCACCCCTACGGTTCTGAAAGGATCACTGAATGAGTGAGTGATTTGGGTCTAATGCTGCCTTTAAATGCCTGTCCAGTTTGTAGAATGTTTGTCGAAGATGCAGTCAGACATTTACCACTGGGCTGTTGCACAAACTGATCTTGACTATGACTACAGCAACAAGCCTATGTCAGAGCATAAGCTTCGACCACCTTAGTGCCAAGACTGCCTCCAGGAACAAAACCCAGGACAACTGCAAAAACATAATCAAGGGATTATGGGATTCCAATCTACATCCAAGGGATGCAACCTTTCCCCTAGACTAACGCTTAGTTTCTGAATATATATTATTTTGACAAAAACAAATAATTCATTTCTAATTGAAAAGGAGTCCCGTGAGAACTGAGATTCAGAACCTGAACCTGAGGAAATCTAGACTTCATTTGGGGCTTTAGCATTGCAGAAAGTGAGTGAGTGAGTTTGGTTTTACGCTGCTTTTAGCAATATTCCAGCAACATCATGGCGGCATTGCAGAAAGGGCTAGGCAGAAGGGAAAGTAATGTGGTTCAGGGACAGTGAGACAGACTACCAGTACCTTTCCCCAGCTAACCATAATCCCATAGGATGTGAAAGTCGATGGTGAGGGAAGAAGGGTAAAGAGATGGACAGATGGAAGTTGTGGTCGCTGTGTCCATATGCAGCTGGAGATACAACAAGCACATTGCTGAAGGTGTATACAGTTTTATTTCCAAGATTAATAATAAATTACAAATTCTAACAGACAAGTAATGATAGAGATAGATTAATAACAAACGTTTTCAACATGGAAGTCAATATGTACTCTTAACAGAAAATCACTCCTTTAGATAAAGATTCATAATAAAGGTGGCTAAAACATAGACAGAAACTGACTACACTATAGGGTGAGTGACAGGCTATCAACAACTTAAAATTGAAATTGACAAGTAGTTTATATGACTTGATAATTACCTAACGCGCATTAGTACGACATGAAGTGTCTTATGACAAGGTCCGATGGATCACATCTCATGTGTAAATTGTCATTTAATACATATTTTGTTCTTGTTTAAAATTAGGATAATAAATAATACACAAATTCGTGTTGTAATATTGCGTGACAGATATAAGGATACACTGACGTGACAGAAAATAGATTGCCTTCAAAGGGATCATATTTCAGGAGTAGAAAATCATTTCATGTCAAATACTGACAGTTTTATAAACTAATAATTTACAGAAATACAAATACATTAGTCGAAAAATATCATTTTGGAAAAGTTTGTAATTTTCAGCTGAACAAGCAACTCACCATTCTCAAACACACCTGGTCGTATTCATTCCAGTTATTGCCAGTGTGAAGACAGAAGCATGCAAGCCTCACACTGAGTTCTGACCATGTGTAATCCCAATTCATGATACCACAATACATCACTGGACGGTACAGCTTGAAACGATCATGAGCACACAGTTATTCAAACCCTCTAGAACAATTACACAATTCTAACATGGATGACTCTGTACGCTGCTGAAAACACAACTTCATTATTATATCCCTGATGTATTAATCTACTATCTCAACGTCAGGAAGCATGATAGTCCCTTGTGTTATATGCTGGTCTCTTCAAAGTAGTTTTAGATGAAAGATATGGTAAAGCAGTTATATTGATTATACAAAAAAATGTTATCTGGCATACAAGTCCATCAAAATAAAACAGTGGGGAAACAAGAAGGTATCATTTTTCTACAAAGGAAAAACCCCCTTTGATTTATGTGTCAATTTGCATAATGAACAAAACAGATATTGACATTTGAATTGAGATCTTTAAGTGTCAGGGTTGTACCATAAAAACATGATACCTGTTGAAATAGATTTGAAATTAACATGATATTGACAAGGTTCAAGTGACAGGTAAAGATTGACAACATAAACAAACAACATTCAGATACTGACAAAGTCAATATTCAGACAGGGCCCTTATGTTTAGCTGAAGATATAGTTGAACAGGAACGGTATTTCACTGTGGCATATTTTGGCATAATGATACTGGCTGAAACAGTAGAGACAAATGGCAGCAAGGCCAGATATATGGTAAAGGTAAAAGAAAGTACGTCAGATCTGTGTTAACCCACATCTCACTGCAGTGATGCACCAAATAACTGTGAGTTTGTTTGTTATAAGCTCTCAATCAGGGACAAAGGATTATTTATTAAACATGGACTTACGATAGACATACAGCTAAGATACCTTGTGTAACAGCCTCTACAAGACCGGTGACATTGTGTGATCCTAAGATCACTCAGGACAGCAATTTATTCATTATTGTGAATACATTCTCAACCCAGATTTCAAACTTCTAGAGATAACAGGACATACCATTCTGAAGATCCCAAATGTACATGATGTGAAATGGACCACTTCTATCACTTCAAAGAGCAGTGAAGGCACTTTCATAACGGTAGAATGTAACACACATATTCTCCATAAGGAAGGTCAGGGACTGTTATATATTTGTCGATATTTTATACAATCAAACAATTGCAAATGGATCATACCTTGATTGGAAAACATTTATGGATAAATAAATTTGATAAAAATGTTCAGGGGGCAAATCACAAATACACATAATTTGCATATGATGGATACAAATTTAAACAAACACATATAATTACACTTCCAGCTAATTCATTAGATAAGCTTTGGTAACTTCACTCTCAGAAAAATGTGGAACCATTATAGTTAGCAGCCTGAGTTCCCACCCAACTAAACAACATAAATTGTCCAAATATTCCACAAAAGACTATGGATATGCTAGAATTGTAGTCATCCTAGCATAGCCAGAATTTTTCAGATTCTTGATTACAGGAATATTTGAATGTTCTTGCACTCATTTTGCAATATCAACGAAACTGGTGTCAAAATATTAATAATTATTTCTGCAACGCTGATTAAAAAGTAGGCATACAGGAATATAATGTCAGAATTTGTAAATGGACAGACACAGGATACATGCTGAAACGGTCACGCCATCAGCACTTACATCGTAAATATCAGCAGATACTGTTTTTGGTAAAGTTTCAACTGTAGTCAGCATGTCATTAATAACTATGATGATAATCATTATTATCAAGAATATACAGGGTAAACCAACCAACAAATAATCTTTGCATAATTAGACAGAGTGACTGTGAAAACTAAACTAAAAGCGAGAGAAGCTTTCTGCTGTGTCAGCAATTATTTGTGAACCACAAAATATCTTCACCAGCTGCAGATTATCAAATGTAATAAGCACAATAGCCAGGCATTAGTGAGATTCACTTTGGACTACCAGTAAATAAGTCTTGATTTGGAACTGTTAACTATAACTCATACCTTCATTTTAACTACTAGTATTCAGAATAGACCAAGTTCTTTAGCATTGCCCCACCAAACCATTGTTGCTTGGGACTTAAATCTTACTTTAACAAAAACATCTCTTAAGTGGGAAACCATGCATGCAAATCACATTTTCAAAAGTTGTTGCCAGATAGATGTTTAACTTCTGTTTAAACATATTCAATAATGTACCAGTGACATAAAAAGTTCTGAAAATGACTTGATACTACTCAATATAAGTAAGAGGACAGAAAATGTTTTTTCATATTATCATGCCCTATCTTTCATGGCATCACAGATAATGATAGTCAAATGAAAACATCCAGTGTCCTTTAACTTAAGTTAATAGTATGTTAACAGTGTTATTAGTTTATATCCTTCACATGAAGAACACCAGACATTCCTATGAAATTACCTGACAATCCTTGTCTATTGGTAAACTTTTGATTACGTGTTACACTGAATTTCAGTACTGCTGAAAGTGACAAGATTTTGAGATATATGCATGTGATTCTACCCTGAAAGAGTCAATGCTAATGCCACTACAATAGTCCAAACAGCTGCTGAAATATGCATGCAAATGACCTTCAGTGGGATAGGATGCTGACGTACATTTCTTTATGGGACGCCGCCAACCATAGCCATCATGATCCTCCTATAGTCACCCGAGATGTCATCCTAGGTGAAAGACAAAACACAGAGATAGCTACAGCTCACATCGTGGGTACATTTGCTATATTTGGAATTACACTTTCTCAGTAAAGGACAGATTCAAGTCCTTTTGTTGGGTTGAGTCCGGTCCGGGATTCGAACCCACACTCTCAGAGTCAGACTTCCATGTCTGTGGAAGACTACGGTGGCTGAGTGGGTTAGATTGCTGACTTTGTGTACGGTATTAACAATTAGGTGCCTGAGAGTGAGGGTTTGAATCCTGGATGGGAATCAACCCAACAAAAGTACTATGTACTTTACTGAGAAAGTGTAATCCCAAATATAACAGGTTACATCTGACCACTTTCTATAATGGCATTGTGTATTCATCATGGGTACATTGCTGAAACGACAAGTCGTTAGTAGCAGAATCTCCATCTCTCAAACCATCAGTAACAAACTTGAGACAAACTGCGAGAACAGGCTCCTGATCATGATGACTGTGATGGCATGCTGCCAGGTTAGAGTGTGGGCAAGGGAGCTTCAGAACACAACAGAACACAACATGACACAACACAAAGCAAAACCGAGCAGTCAAATTTAAGATAGCAAATTGAACAAATCCTATCATGAACATCTTGTGGTTCTATCAAGGTATTATCAGTGTAGTAAGGTCAGAAGGGCGAGACTGGATAAGAGGGCAACTGTGACATGTTAGTAAGTTGGACATGGATTTCATATTTTCAAATATACTACTCAATTAACTACAATAATATGAAAGAATCCACAGATCTCTAACGTCTTTTGAGTAGTATATAAATGTATTTATATTCTTCTGTTATAAAATCGTAAAAAAACATGCCACCAATGATAAACAGAAAGCAGGTTTGTCTTATTTAACCAAAAATGACAATCATGATTTTGTTACAACCACATTCTTTACTGTTATTAGAAATAGAGACATTTGCTTCTGTAGGAGCATATCACAACAAACTCTGTGCTTGCATATATTCTCTGATTTTTTTTCCATTATTTAAATGCTTTGTCATAAAATGGTATACAGTGTTCTATCAAGCAATTCTGTGTATAGTGTGCGTGGATGAAAAGAGTATGAAACAATTTCAGCTTCTGATATTAATTTTCCATTAGTTCCAGACATATGCAATGGTTAACAGTACATGACAGTGATTGGATATAATGAGACATAACAAATGACGCTTGCCGCCACACATACATAGACTTCGGTAATATATTTGATTTTATTGTACAGAGAACAGAGCATGGTGTCACCGGAACAGACATGGTCACGAGTCTGTAGTTCTTTTTCACTAAATATAGTTTTTTACTTGACAACTTGTCCAAAATGAACTGTAAATTAGTTGGATATGACATGCAGTGTCTACCCGTGTTGTGAGAGGGGAGGGTGGTTGAGGGGAATAGGTGAAAGTGGACTGAGGTGGTGATGAAGGAGGGTGTGGGTGTGGGTGGATGGGGAGAGGGGGTGGAGTTGAGGGGAATAGATGAGAGTGGACTGAGGTGGTGGCTGAGGGGAATGAAGTAGGGTGGGGTGGATTGAGGGGAATACATGAGAGTGGACTGAGGTGGTGATGAAGGAGGGTGAAGGTGGAAGGGGAGGGGTTGGGTTGAGGGAATAGATGAGAGTGGACTGAGGTGGTGACAAAGTAGGGGGTGTGGGTGGATTGAGGGAATACATGAGAGTGGACTGAGGTGGTGATGAAGGAGGTAGAGCTGGAGGTGGTGAAGGTGGATTGAGGGAATACATGAGAGTGGACTGAGGAGGTGGTGATGAAGGAGGGTGAAGGTGGAAGGAGAGGGTTGGGGTTGAGGGAATAGATGAGAGTGGACTGAGGTGGACGAGAAGTAGGGTGTGGGTGCATGGGGGAGGTTGAGGGGAATAGATGAGAGTGGACTGAGGTGGTGGTGAGGGAGGGTGTGGGTGAGGTCGGAAGGGGGTGGGGGTTGGGGTTGAGATGAGAGTGGACTGAGGTGGTGTCTAAGGAGGGTGTGGGTGGGAGGAGGGAGGGGGAGGTTGAGGGGAAGAGATGAGAGGTTGTGGGGAAGGGGGGTTGGGTTTTGAGGAGCAATAGATGAGAGTGGATTGAGGTGGTGACGAAGGCGGGTGTGGGTGGAAGGGGAGGGAGGCGTGGTTGTTTTTTTGTGTGTGTCGACACCGATGGATGGAGGTAGAGAAAACAGTTGGCATTGAGGAAGAATTGGAAGGATTACATAAAATGCTTACATTCCTTTAAAGAATTCATCAACAAAACTGAATAAACATGTCTATTCCCAGACAAAGCATCTCTCAGCTTTACCAAGAACTGTCTCTTGATCATGTTCATAAACAATACTGACAACAGCTATAACCTAAACTAGAATATTATATGTAACACACAAACAAAAGATGCAATGCTTGGTTCATTCCCATTTGTGATAACAAAAATCATGTGCCAGTATTAACATGATTTCACAAGACAAAAAGATAAAAGTGTGTTTTCCATCATCATATTGAAAACCCAGTAATCAAATGAAGGTGATTAGTATGAATGATCTCTTTGTCATAACAGAGATAAATCACAATGTGTGCCACCCAGAGGTGAACAAAACAAAACATTTGGTCAGTATTTGAGCAAGAGTGTTAGATCCGAAGCATGTAGCTAAATCAAGGAAGTGTTGTAGGCTTATCGTGAGGCTCCAACGAGCGCCATCAAAATTCTTCTATAGTCGCCTGATGTGTCATCCTGGATGAAAAAAATAGGACTTTTAACATATGTATGAGTTTCTTTCTCACTCAAAAGTAATACAACTGATAAAAAAAGAGGAGAATAAACAAAAAAACATGTGAACATGCCAACACTGCAAAAGCAATAAAATCAGCAGGCATATTCATGTTAATAGTAATTTGCGGCAATTCAAAATTGAGGTCAGCAATCAGGGATCAACCATTTTGTTGTCTTGCACAAAATACACTGATGCATAATGGGTTTTTGAAAAATATATTTAGAATCAGTTTTAATTACAAATTATCAGTTTTTGCAGCTGCAGCTGAAAAAAAAAATGAAGTCTCGAAACAAAATCCCACGCTCTACTAACTTATCCACCTCCCCAACACTAACAAATGGCCGGCCCCCCTCAGGAGAGAATTCCTTACATAAGGTTTACAGATTCTGACACCATAAACATACTTTAACACTGAAATAACATTGAAAACAGAAGATCTGAATAGTTCCATTATAATAATTATCTTATGAATGTAAACTTGGGCATTAATGATGATAAAATATGTACATGCTGAATATTCAATGGCAAGAAGGAAGACTTTTAGTTCCACTCAAGTTCTGAAGAAGTTCTTTAACTTTCCCTTCCATGCCCAGCTACCAACAAGGAATAGTAACACAAAAATCAGGAAAAATCTGGCTTTTGTGTTGTTAAAACTACAACTTAAAACCTTAAATTTTTAAACATGATGCAATACTTGTAAATATAGGTATCTATTCCAGTATTTGAGTTTGGCGGTGGCTTGTTGAAGACATCTGGAAGTATTCCCAGTGTGGGTTGTATTACAAAACCCAACAACCCAGAACAAATTGTGTCAATAACAAATGCTAATTTTGCACAAACTGATCATTGTACTTCCCATGGAAACTCCTTGTTTGATGCACCGGGTAACTATTAAATGACTTTTACCACTGTCTCCAACTGTTGATTGTTTTCAACATGTAAGAAAAATATATTGCTACATTCTAGTTTTTATGTTAATAGATTTTGACACCTTATATCGTTACTAGAAAATGCAAAAAAAAAGAAAAGTTTTAAAATACTGACAATGAAAGCCAAATCTGATTCATCTTAATTTTAACATGTTTAATAGGATAAACAGTCAGTGCTGGATATTAAACTTACCAGACTCTGATAACGTTTGGTCTGTTTAGGGAGGCAACTCAATCAGGCCTTAAGCAATGAGTACTAGCGCAAGACACAAAACATTACACATGCATTACTGGTCGCCAAACTTGACTCAAAATAATGTTAACGAGTGAGTAGATGTTTAATACAAGTCAGCACTGTAACAAAATCCCATGAGCACTGTGAATGCATATATTTGTACCCAAGCAAGGTATCAAGCCAGGTCTATCACAAGACACACACAACAACAGATCCACACACAGACAAGGGAGCTAACCCTTGAGTATATAGGTTGAGGGGAGTCATGATGAATGCGACAATGTCTGATAAAGATCTGTCCTTTAAGGATTCATCACAATAGGTGTAATTTAAATTGTTTTAACAGTATTTGAGCGATATCACAGAGTTGACACCAGATATCAGCTCAAGACAATGTTGCCTATGTGGGGAATCAAATGAAGACTTGTGGCTTAATGACTACACATCTAGGCTGCTTCCTATCCTCCCTAGTCCTCAAGAGGAAGTCACATTAACATGGCTTGTGTAAACAATTTTGGGTGTCGCTTCGATCAATATTTCAGTCATAGCATGGCTTTAAGGAGGAAAGCTCACACTGTTGCTAGTCTTTAAGAGAGTGTGTGAGTATGGTTTTACACCACCAGGGTCTCTGGCATGATGAATGTATGCTTTAACAATAGGCTACCCCCCTGCAAGTCTTCCATGTTTATTTGGCATGACCCAAGTACATGGGTATGATACTGACAAACCATAATCAGAGTCAATCAGCATTAGAAGACAACATCATAAGATTCTGGTGTACCTAGGGGAAGCAACTCTGAACAACAAACTGGACCACTTGTGCCTTTCCTGTATCAAGGAACATCCAGCATGTATTTGCTGATTAATGGCATGAAAAATCAGATGCTTGGTCCCTTAAACTGGGAATGTAGCTAGTTCTGGTAGCTACTTCAGTATCCTATGCTTGTCGCAAGAGGTGACTAATGGGATTAGTGGTCTGGCTTGCTGACTTGGTTGACACACGTCATATCCCAATGGCGTAGATCGATGCTCATGATGTGGATCACAGGATTATCTGGTCCAGACTTGATTGTTTACAGACTGCCACCATATAGCTGGAATATTGCTGTGTGCAGTGTTAAACAAACAAACAAAAAGGCTCTGCTAGTACTATATTTTAGCACATATTAATCATGCAGTCAGTTCAATTACCATGCCTCCATTTATGTAAATTATACAGAACTATGCCCAATGGTCTGTAGTTGTGAACATAACGACTTCACAGTGGTCACATGTTTGCACCATCCAAATCTTAATGAAATCAGATATTTTGCTCAATTACAGAACAATCTTTTTACAAATAAATAGCCAATGAGTGTTGAAACTAATTTCTATAGTAACTATAGAGTAATAGATATTAACCATATTCTTTGTAAGAGCAAGTGAAGCATTCAGAGCTTCTTCAGATACTTGTGTCTCAAAAAGAAACACAAAGGAGAATGTTAAGATAAACAAGGAGCTATGATATTGTTGTGGATATCTAATACACCTGTTGCTTCTCCACTGGAGGATATATTGTGCCTGTTAGGATTTGGTGAGGAGGTGGAGGGGGAGCTAAACTGAGTTTCTGAACCAGGGTGGCAAAGCAATGAAGCCTTATTGTCATGAAGGTTTCGAGTTGATTGGCTAAAGAGCTAGAATGAGACAATTAAAGTTTGCTCAGGGACACAAACTTCTGTGGGCACTGTATTGGATCTTTGCCAGAGGTACTGAACTAAACAATGATAATAACTCCTGGGGAGTATACAAACCATACTCAGCAGCCATTGTGACCACACAATCTCCATGTATGTGCCTCAACAGCTAATGGGCAATGTGGATAAATTTTGCCTCCATAGTCCATACAATACTTACTAGCAACCATGTTTTATACCATGAAAGTTTGACCTGATTGAGTCAAATGGTGAGTTTATATGTGAATAAATTATTTGTCAACATCAACTCACCCTGATGAAACTCTCCAGAGTCTTCCCAAAGCGTTTTGCAAATTCCTCCTTGATCTGAACCATGTCCACTTCAGCCCGCGTGACAACAACTCGAACCAGTGTACGATCATCAGTTCCTGCACCCTGGAACAAGCCATTTTAAAACACTCTGAAGGCGGTTCTATACCAGGTCTTAGATATAGCAGGCATCTTGAGTTAAAATATCAACTACATGACACTTCATGACTTAACATGTACACAGAAAACACAATTAAGCATCGTGAACACATTTGGGCAAACCCTATTGAAGTCTGTATGTTTACTGGAATATTGCTGTGTGCAGTGTTAAACAACAAACAAACAAAAAGGCTCAGATAGTACGATATATCAGCACATATTAATCATGCAGTCAGTCCATTACCATGCCTCCGTTCATGTAAATTATACAGAACTATGCCCACTGGTCTGTGGTTGTGAACATAATGAGGTGAGGTGAAATTGGGTTTATCGTCGTGCTTGAGAATATTTCGCTCACATGACAACGTGCATGCGTGTGTATGTGTATGTGCGGCTGCTTGTACTAGCCCAGACTTAAGCTGGTTTATAGTGCTAGCCCACTGAGATACCATGCCGCAGTGAAGCATGAATACCCCACTCAGACACATTATACTGATTCCGAGCCGACCAGTCCTTGTTGTATCCATTAATGCCGAGCGCCAGGCAGGGACCAACAAGTACCATATTTTAACGTCTTTTGGTATGACGAGGTTGGGGATCGAACCCGCGACCTTCCGATCTCCGGGCAGATGCTCTAACCACTACACCACGGATGCAGCAGAACATAATGAACCTTGACGTTGGTATGTTTACCTTCATAGAATAGTAGAGTCGGTCTGAAAAATAGGCCGCCTTGTTTCTCACGACCTTCACTGAAATAATGAAAACCACAAATAAAACCATGGTGACAACATGAAAACATGATGGCTGCTGTAATAACTGCATACTGATGGCATAAAAATGATACAACAAATTTGAGTAATGATCTCATCACATATACACACTCAAAGTCATCCTAAAACTCAAGGATAAGAAGCAGGGATGTTTCTAGGATTTAAACTACGTGCCCATGCCTAAGTTCAGGGGTATATTAACATTGATTTGGGAAACGTTTAATACTAGTTTGGGAATTTTTACTGCCATTTTTACCACTGAGAAAAAGAAACACTAAAGAATTTCTATTGTTGTAACTGTGAAACAAAACTCTTCTCATATAGTGGTTACAACATCAACAGATCAACAAATCAGATTTTCCTACAGATGAAGAGGACCTCTCAGTTCAATTACAGTCAAGGACTGAGGATTGGGATCAGGCAAAGTAAAAAATGTATAATAGGTCACTTGCTTGACAATCAGGGCTTAAGCCTCAAATGTACCAAGTCCACCACCCAATACTATCCCCTGGACAAACTAAGCAAACTAGTAGAAGAAATGACTAGTTTCTATTCTTCAATCTGGAAAGTTCACTGCACAGACTTTTGTTTCTGAAACACTGCTGTCTCCCGTCACTTTTTGTAGCATCACTATACTCCAAGGTGAAAAACTTCAGTAAGGGTCATATTGACGAAATGCAGTGAGAGTCATATTGATAACTTCAGTAAGGGTCATATTGATAAACTGCAGTAAGGGTCATATTGATAAAATGTAGTAAGGGTCATATTGATGAACTGCAGTGAGAGTCATATTGATAAACTGCAGTAAGGGTCATATTGATAAACTGCAGTAAGGTTCATATTGGTACACTTCAGTAAGGGTCATATTGATACACTGCAGTAGGGGTCATATTGATAAACTGCAGTAAGGGTCATACTGATAAACTGCAGTAAGGGTCATACTGATACACTTCAGTAAGGGTCACATTGATAAACTGCAGTAAGAGTCATATTGATAAACTGCAGTATGGGTTATATTGATAAAATGTAGTAAGAGTCATATTGATAAAATGTAGTAAGGGTCATATTGATAAAATGCAGTAAGGGTTATATTGATAAAATGTAGTAAGGGTTATATTGATAAATTGTAGTAAGGGTCATATTGATAAAATGTAGTAAGGGCCATATTGATAAAATGTAGTAAGGGTCATATTCATAAATTTCAGTAAGGGGCATTTTGATAAACTTCAGTAAGGGTCATATTCATAAACTTCAGTAAGGGTCACATTCATAAATTGCAGAAAGAGTCATATTGATAACATGTAGTAAGAGTCATATTGATAAAATGTAGTAAGGGTCATATTGATAAAATGCAGTAAGGGTTATATTGATAAAATGTAGTAAGGGTCATATTGATAAATTGTAGTAAGGGTCATATTGATAAAATGTAGTAAGGGTCATATTGATAAAATGTAGTAAGGGTCATATTCATAAATTTCAGTAAGGGGCATTTTGGTAAACTTCAGTAAGGGTCATATTCATAAACTTCAGTAAGGGTCACATTCATAAACTGCAGAAAGAGTCATATTGATAACATGCAGTAAGGGTCATATTCATAAACTGCAGTAAGGGTCAATATTCATAAACTGCGGCAGCCAGAACACAACATATAGCTAGGAGGTGACCTACCAATCGTGAGCATGCTTCTCTCCAGATCCCCCGACATCTCTGATACGATCGCCTTCTCGATGTCCTGGTTGACAATTCGACTGTAGGCTTCAAACACTGCTCGCAACTGCTCATAGCTCTGTGCTGCCAGGATACGGTTGAATGTGTTCTCATCAGTTCCCCATCTCTTCTGGCCTGCCTCATACAGTGCCTGCACAAATGTAACAGATGCATGTGTGTTAGGGTGATTACAGTGAATGAGTTTGGTTCTATGCCACACTAAGCAATATTCCATCTATATGGCGGCGTAGTGTGATTACAAATCTTCATATGAACTCACTTCTTCCAACACAAACACAATGAAGAGAATACAAACTTGTCAGCCAATAATGAAAGGTTTAGCAAAAGTATATAATTGACTTTATCAGGGCTAACTTTAATCTGTAACATTAACCATCCCAAATAATGCTAACATATAGGGACTCTCTCCAAAAGCGTGAAATCCTCAGACCTTAGGGCTTAGGACATTACACAAAATCACTCATAATAGTGTCAAGTTGTAACCCTCAACAGGGTTCAAAATACCCCATATATTAGTGTGCCACGGCACGGTAAATACAGAAATGGCACGGCTAAAAAATGTTCTTGGGGCAGTAGTATAGGGAATGGGGGTTTTGGACCAGTTCCAACAAAAGCCTCTGCAAAGCCTTATTCCCCAAATAAGGCTTTGGTCGGACCCTTAGCTCTTGCTACCATTACCCCTACTGCTTTCCCAACCTATAAAAATTTCAAGCGACAGCGGGATACGAACTCCACATGTACGCGGCCGGAGACATGGCTATGCCGTGTTGACAGGAGGTAACACTGTGCCGTACGGTACGATCAATAATTCTTCTCTTACAAATCCTCTGCCTGGCCTATCCCTCAAGTAGTACAAGTTCGGCTCGTCCACTTTCATGTCCACTTTATCTATGTTGTAAGTTTTGACTGACCATATAGGATCAGTGGCTCGCTTACGGCTATCACCCTCGTGTTCCCCCGGCTGGTATAGATATCTCACTAGGACCCTATCTGGTATCTGCTTCTCCTTCCCACGCAATGGAGCGGCCGACTCTGACACTATCGATTTTAGTTTGATAGCGTCTGCCGGTTTCTTGCCGGTGAGACGGGTGACTTCATGGTTGATTGCCGACACCACCTTAGGTAACCTTGTGACCCTTTTGACACGTCTAAGTTTCTAAGAGACATAACTCACATATAGTCATTTAATCCCCAAAACAATTTTTTTTTTCAAAATTGAATAATACCATGCATATCTGAATGCTCATAAACTTATTTCTTTATTTAACAATAAGTTTCAAATGATCATCATCATTGTCATTTACTCTAAAAACATGTGGGCATACTCGATTTCAGAAAGGCACACCTTAAATATTTGTCTGGTGCCCTAAGGCACACTTAGAAAAGAAAGTATTTCTATCCCTTCCCAATGAACGTAAATCATGTTTCAAAATTCTGGAAAAAGTATACCTGCCTGGGAGATTTTGCTTTCAATACATGTCTAGATTTGTTTGTATTCCAGATACATCAACTTATCAAATAAACATGGCTGATCTCTATAATACAAAAACAGCCCCAAACTCACCTTGGCATCCTGCTGGGCCTTAGCCTGGTCTACAGGCTGGTTCTCCATCCGGCCGCCCTGAAACCAGATCACATTCATCCCGTTAAAATATGTTTAATATGGAGAAATTACCGGACTAAGACTTTGTCACATGAAGAAAAGAAAATGAAGATTAACTCAACGCCAGCACTGTAATGCTGTTAATACTCACGGTTGTCATGGAGACGAGAAGCTTCTTGAAATGTCCTGATGTTTCACTGACGATATCCTGTTCCAGCTTTCGGCCATACACTGAAAACATCATACAGTGATTGATTCAACTTGTATCAAATGCTCTTTCACCAGACACAACGCTGACTACTGACAGAATGATAAATATGCTACCTCAAACACAGATATAAATCATTGATGAAACTGAGATAATGCAGCCAACTTTGTATTGATCAGGAAGTGTTCATGATGTGTTACATACTGGCTTTGTAAGCAGCAACCATGGCCAGAATCTGTTTGTTGTTCCTGGTACACAGAATTTCTATCAGAGCTGCTTCATCAGTGCCAGCTCCCTACAACAGAGAAAAAGGTATGGATGCTAGTCTTGGAGATCTATCACCAAATGTGCTAACACTCCCATTTTTGTGCCTAGTTTGTACTAGATGAGTGAGTGAATGAGTATGGTTTTACGCCGCTTTTTAGCAATATTCCAGCAATATCACAGCGGGGGACACCAGAAATGTGTACTGGATGAGGTGGAGTGGGGGGCACAGTGGAGCAGCCTTGGTGAAAGTGTCCGTTTACACTGCTGAAAGCCCAAATTGATTCCCCACATGGGTAAAACATATCTGAAGTCCATTTCTACTGCCCCAGGGGTGGAAATAACTTTAAAATTGCTAGTGTACTCCGGTACAGTGGCACATGTAAAATCACTTGCCCTGATAATTTTTCCACTATACCGACCATTTTCTTGTTGATATTTTTAAATAAACAACATAATTAACATTAGAATATCAACTGGACACCGGTACAATGTGATATACAAATTTGCTTGCCCGACAGAAAAAAGCATAAAAAGTATACAAGAAGCCATTTTGCCGTAATACACTCAAAGAAGTCTACATGTGACAGTGCAGCTTAATATGTCTAACCCTCATGGCTCTCCTCAGTTCGTAGGCGTCATACTCTTCTCGTGTGTACAACAGAGCGATGCAGGCGTCCTCGAAATGGCCACTCAGCTCACTCTTCAGGTCTTGAAGCAGATCCTACAAATCAACAAACAAGGATTCAAGAACATAAACTGACAGTAGTCTACTGTATACCAATGTTTTAAATATCGACCCCTTAAAATGCAATCATGGTAATCCAAAAACTGCTAATTAAAGTTGATTGGCACTCTTACTAAACCAAGTATGTGAAAATGGGCACTAATTCTGAGAGTCTTCAGCACCTAAACTACTTTCAGTGAGCAAGAGGAGTGGTCTAATCTTACCCTGCCGAAGCAAGTCTTGTACATCAGTTTGATTTGCTGTCTTTGGTCTGTGCTGCGATACCCCAGAATATCAATAATAGCCTTCTCATCAGTACCTAAAACACAACACATCTCAGTTGGATTATCTTCTGTACAGGACACTCAGTAAAATCACACTGATTTACAACAAGTACAATTTAAGCATCCAAGGCATAATGAACAAACTTTGTTCACATTCCGTGAAGTTGATGCAGCTGTAGAAGCATGTGAGAGAAAACTGTGGATTATAAACTGATAAGATATACTGAACAACAAAAGTTTAGCACATTTTTGTTACATTTATATACAAAAGAATGATATGAGACAAAATACTGAAATTTGGCCCAAACGTGAACACATGACACACTTGAGTGCCATCAAACTTTACCCGATTGTTGGACCGTTGTAAAAACCAGGATGGTGCACGTGCATATCGTGTTTATGCCCATCGGCAGAAAAATCATGCAAACTGGGGTGTATAACAGGGTTGACATGACACACTGGAGTATCAGTGTACAGAAACCGCAAAGAATTGTTCAGTTTGAAGCATGGGTCGTCGGCCTTGAATGCCAGAAAATCAGCGCCAATGAAGCCCTCAGAGGCGACTACGTGCTAGCCATCAAGTAAAGAGGCGTCGCCAGGCACTTCCAAGTGCATTACAGCACAATTATTCGGTCTCTGCGACAGCGGGTCCAACAAACTGGCCAAGTTAGAGACCGACCAAGGTCAGGAAGGCCTCGTTCTACCACCCCACGGGAAGACCGCCACATTGTGACGTCATCAAGACGACACAGGTTAACAAGCGCCCTACGTCTGGCCAACGAGCTGCGGCAAGCTACGGGTACACACTTTCACCCCCAGACAGTCCGTAGACGTCTCCATGCAGCAGGCCTACGTGCCCGACGTCCGGTTGTAGGCGTTTTTGTCATTTGGAATGTTTCACCCCTACCCTACAATGTGTAACGTCAGCTTGACGTCCTGGATTGAACACGTCTTTTGACACTTCCATTGTGCGGTCAAATTGTCACTCTATTTCTATGTGTAATGACTTATAACATCAAGTGTTACTTGTTGAAAATTAAATACAATTTCCAAAAATGTGCTAAACTTTTGTTGTTCAGTATATATTAATGCTGAAGAGAGTAAAGTGACAGTAAAAAATTACCTAAAGCAAAATATCATAGATTAGTGCAGTTAATAAGTTTACTAATATTTCAGCTGCATATGATCAAAGTGATAGCAAAGTCATCTCTGAAACCTTATAAGGGGGTAGAGAGACGGAGGAGTTTAATAGTCTTTAGTCTTGAGTGTACAGCTAAGCATACATGGCCAAAAGAAAAGTGGCCATACCATTGCTGACTGCCGTCTACATACAGTTTATACCAGTGTGCCATCCAGACACATCTAGGCCTTCCAGTGTGACTGATCTGATGTGGCACGTAACATAAAGTCAATAAATGGAATGTTCTTAATCTGATACTACATGCGACATCAGATCAATATGGTTCCATGTGTTGACTGAATATAACATGCTGTAAGTCTAACACTGGTAACAATTTAGTGATATAAATGAACTTGGATATCTAGCCGACATGAAAATGAATAGTAAGAGGGCAATGATCCAGGTTCTGACACAACTTTGCTTTACAAATTAATGCACATTTAACCACTGAGTCACTCCTGCTCCATGCAACATTGTATACAGTCTAATGAAAATCGGCAGCATCCTCTGACCTCCAGAGAATATATATCCATTCTGTTATGATAAATACCCAACATTATTGGTTGTTTTGAGTCCTTGTTTTACAAGACACTGTGTAACCACATCATTTCAAACTGACATGAGAGAAATTTAGTAGGAAGTTACTGATTGGAAGTGATGGCTACCAATACAGATCATCGACATCAATAATCATTCATCATTCTTCCCATCAACAATGTTTCCAGTTATCAAACTTTTTACAAACTACTACTGTTAGAAAAGACAGGGAATGTTAGAACACATCGCAAACAAAACTATGGCAGTGCTAGGTATTTATCACAATAGAATAGAGTAATAATATACTTAAAAATCATGCACAGGGTTGTATCTACATGGTATAGTTATGTTTCAAGATGAATTGGCCTTTCCCATGTATGAAGCCTACATTATGACTTCCGTACCTTTCATGCATATCTCTAATACACCCCAGTGTATGCATACATTAAACCGAGGAGTACTTGGGTTCATGATAACATAGACATGGTCTTACTATGTTCCGCCACCAAGCAACATGCAGACATCCTTCACACAATGCATTAACAAGTGCAGTCATCTACAGTTCCTCAGTGTAGCGTATCTCCATATGATTCACTAGCACCAAAAGCATAATTGTTAGTTAAGAGTAATGGTGATGGTGATGGCAGTTAATGATAAAGCTTCAAGTGGTGAATGGGTCCAGGGTGTTCATCGCTAGGGAATGGAGACAAAACACTAGGTACACAAGATGAAGCCCAGCATGCAACTGATTCAATTCTCATTCTCATTTCAAAAGACAAAAGTTTATTTATCAGATAAGTACATCCCCAAACAATACAATCATATAATTCAAATCCATTTTTCAAAAGAACTTTTTAGTTGCTCTTATGGCAACCCCCTTTGCTATTCCTGTCATAGTTCTCGACTTTACTGAAAATAGAAAGTTGCCAACATCATGCAAACAATAGACTGGGAAGACACATTACAGTTAGTCGACTTGCCCTGCTTACGTTTCAGAACCAGTCATGATTATCAAGGTTATTACTGAGAGGTTTAATTAATCAACATAGATAGTTAACAACCTCCCCCAGCCAAAATTTTGACTGGCTCCATGCAGAAACTACACAAACATCAGATCACTGATAGGTCAGTTTACCTCGTCAATAAATTGTGCAGAGGCTCTCTCTTCAAACTAGCATTGTTAAAGAAAATATTTTTAAATCATTCTGGAGAAAATCATAGGAAAATCATGATCAGGACAAAATCCACCCTAAGGGAGTAGCAGAAGCAGAAAAACACATTACATGATGCTGAACATGGCAAGACACAGCCAGTAAATGATGCTTCAGGCTTCATCAAGGCCACAACACAATAGCAAACCTTGCTGATCAAATTAGAACAGTAGAACATGCATGGCCAGAACTAGAGATCTATTAGCTAGGGGCTCCTTTCACGAAGCAACCTTTACTAAGGTTAACCTTAACTCCCATTCTTTAACATTGCACTAAGGTTACCTTAGTGACTTACGATCACCTTAGTGTTTTGTAAAAGGAGGCCCTGCTAACCAGCACACATTTCTGTCATGCAAATTTTGACCTGAAAGCTTGTTTAATCTCAATTGCTTTATCTATCGATGTTAGCATTTTGAAACAGGGTGCTACAATGGGATACCGCCTAACTTCACCCCACACCAAAACTGCTCTGACAAAGGGAGGCTCTGATTCTAAGTACAATAGTTGTGGCCAGCTTGAGCCAGGTTTGAGCCAGCTCTTACCAAGTCCCTTCATGGCCTTCCTCAGTTTCTGGCTGTCTGTCTCAGCATTGAAGTTAGCAGCTGGTCTCAGTGTTCCATTTTCCTGGAAACAAAGTAATATACAGTGGAAACCGCCTAAGTCAAGACCACTTAACTAAACGAATCCAGGACAAAATCCACCCGGACAAAATCCACCCCAAAATTGCAACCTAGGACAAAATCCACCCGGACAAAATATATAAATATGACAATTGCACATTTTCACATTTAAAATAAACAGGATGATCTCAAACTCATTAAAAAGTATGTTATATCAAAACATGAGTATAAAGGGCTTCAATGATCAAAGTGTGAGACTACTTAATGATACATGAAAGAGGATTAAGTAGTGATGAAACTGTGACAAATGGAGAAACCTTTAATGTTTGAAACAACATCTAGGAACAACAGCTATCAAAACAATGCTTGCGAAAAACAAATTGATCAAAGATCAGGACACACTTAAACTTTTAACAATAGCAATTTGAGAAGGGTGGATTTTGTCCATTTTTTTGTTAAGAAGTGGTGGATTTTGTCCGGTCACCTAACTAAACAGACCTGATAAGTAAACACTTTTCTTTGGTCCCGGCAACTTTCTTCATTAATTATCAATATTAGAGTCCGGTTAACTAAACTCGGATAAGTAAACAATACCGCTTAACTAAACGTCTTCTCACGGTCCCTGGATGTAAATTACTTAACAAAAGAGACTGGATAACTAAATTAGCGATCACCACATAATCCGACATGGGGGCAGTCGTGTCAGTCTCCAGTCAAACAAACATCCTACCTACAGCTCGCTAGCATCAAGCAGTTAACAATACACTGACAACTGGGGGGCAGCCCTGATAAGCTGTTCATTGTTACATATGCATACATATACATGCATATGGTCATTTGCAGGTTTTTATAAGTTTGGATAAGTAAAATACCTGATAAGCAAACAAATTTGGCGAGTCCCTTGAAATTTTACTTATCAGGTTTCCACTGTAGTGAAGAATGGGACTCTATATTGCAGTTGTAAAATGATTAAGTACAAAACAAAGATTTAGCAACGATCATTCCTAAATATATACCATTCTCTGTGGCTCAGTGAATGAACTATGTGAGTCTGTTATCACCTATTATCCATATAGAACTCAGGACTTTACAAAGAGTAACTCCCAGCTCCATTACATGAGGGGCTATGGCGTAGCCTAGTGGTATAAGTGCTCACTTGTCAGGCCGATGGCCTGGGGTCAATTCCGCACATGGGTACAATGTGTGAAGCCCATTTCTGGTGTCCCTCCCCGTGATATAGCTAAAAGCGGCGTAAAACCATACTCACTCACTCACGCCAGTACATGACTTCTCCCACTTTATCATGTGTGCACTATACGTAGATAAAGCTAGACTAATGTTTTGTCTCTGAATATTTATAATGTTGATAGAAAACAATTGAGTGAGTATGGTTTTATGCCGCTTTTAGCAATATTCCAGCAATATCACAGAAATGGCCACCAGAAATAGGCTTCACACATTGTACCCATATGGGGAAAACCAGGGTCTTCGGCGTGACGAGCGGACACTTTAACCATTAGGCTACCCACTGCCCTAGAACCTGAGGAAATCTAGACTTGCTTCATTTAAGGATTAAACATTGCTCTAAGGGCTGGATAGAAGGGAAAAGAAACCAGTTCATGGATTGTGAGACTAGAAAATAGTGTAAGAAAGTTTGAAAGTAACAGTCAGGTAGGTATATTGACCCTCAATCCAACCACTCTGTGCAAAGTAGAGGTCCTACCTTAACTTTATATACTGAAGATGCAGCTCCTGGATTTCCATAGCCTCCATAAGCTGCTGCTGGTGGCTGCTGGCCTCCTGGAGCTGACCCTGGATACCCTGCTGGAGCTGGGGCTGACCCATACCCTGCTGGCTGACCATAACCTGCCTGGGGGGCCTGACCATACCCTGCCTGGGGCGGTTGACCATATCCTGCCTGAGGGGCTTGACCAGGATAGCCCCCAGCCTGAGGAGGCTGACCATACCCTGGCTGTGGGGCCTGACCTTTAAGACAAACATCACAAAAATATTATTAATGTGGACGCAGGGGTGGGTGAGAGGATTAGGTCACTTACTTTGTGTGGTGGCAATTAGGTGCCAGAGTGAGGTTCGAATCCAGGATAGGATCAGAATTTTTACTGATTCTATACCTGTTTAAAAATCTGAAAAACACATTTAAAAATAAATCGTATTTTTTTCAAAATATGTCTGCCACAGTTTCAAATCCTAGGTATATCTAATCCTTATGAGATTGTCTCATATCTAAATGGCCAAGAAAGAACACTGTATCACAACAAAGTACATCTTTACAGCCAGATTACATTCATTCAAGCTTGGCACACAACCCACCTGGAAATCCTCCTGGGGCCTGGCCTGGGTAGCCACCCGCTGGGGGTTGTCCATAGCCTGGTTGTGGGGGGGCATTGTAGGCCTGGGGAGGATACCCTCCTGGCTATGAATAAAAACATGTAGCATGTAATCAGCAGGGACCAGACGATCCAGTGGTCAACAGTATGAGCATTGATCTACACAACGGGGATACGATGACTTGTGTCAACCAAGTCAGCAACCATGACCACCCGACCCCAATAGTCGCCTCTTACCACAAGAATGGGTTACTGAAGAACAATTCTAACCCGGATCTTCATGGGATAATATTAGGAACAAAAAATCAAATATTCAATATATCCAACAACTTATCCATAGTGTTGTTCTATGCAATAAACCAAAAGTTGCTATCCATAAAGTCGTATGCTTCATTTTTTACTCCTCACCTTCTATAATGCCGATCAAACAATTATTAAATATGCATCATATTCGTATTATAGCTTTTAATCCCAATTAATGATAATTATGAAACAGAAACACATAAAAATGAGTCCTCCCAATTTAACTCCCAGTCCAGGGGTGGAAATAACTTTAAAATTGCTTGTGTACTCCGTTACAGTGGCATATGTAAAATCACTTGCCCTGATAATGTTTCCACTATACAGGACAATTTTCTTGTTGATTTTTTAAATAAGCAACACGATGAACATTGGATAGTCAACAGGACACCGATACAACGTGATATACAAATTTGTACGCCCGACAGAAAAAAACACTGGACTCGGGTGTCGGGCAATGGGTTATTTCCACCCCTGCAGTCACAGTTACACCAAAGGTCTCACCTGTCCTGGCATTTGGTATGTTGGCTGACCGGCACTGGGGCCTGATGGCATCGCTACCTGGGGTGGGCCACCTTGCATTGGGCCCTAGAGTAAAAACATGTCAGGACTGTGAGTGATACTGTGATGCTTGTCACATTTTCTTATCATTATCCAGAGAAAAGAAATACAGCAAGGCCATTCATTTACATTCACTGTAGTGACAAGGCAGTTCTTGTCATCTCGTTCTGTCTGTCTGTCTGTTTGCCTGAAGGAGTGAGTATGGTTTTACGCCACTTTTAGCAATATTCCAGCAACATCTTGCAGGGGACACCAGAAATGGGCTTCACACATTGTACCTATGTGGGGAATTGAACCCGGGGCTTCGGCATGACGCGAGCGAACACTTTAACCACTAGACTATCCCAATGCTCCGTGTCTGCCTGAACTCAATAATGACAGTGGTCTGTTAATAAAGTCTGGACCGTCTACATCATTGAAGTACAATGACATACATTGAGTCAGTGAGTTTGACCACCTAATCCCATTAGTCATTTCTTACAACAAATAAGGGTTGCTGAAGATCAGTTTGAACCCAATCTTTAGTGAGGTAGTTCTGTATGTACATGTGATATGAGTACTCACACCAAATCCAAACTCACAAGCAGGTTAATCTCCTTTAGTAGTCTCTTACGACAAGCATAGTGAGTGAGTGAGTTTAGTTTTATGCCGCACTCAGCAATATTCCAGCTATATGGCGCCGGTCTGTAAATAATAGAGTCTGGACCAGACAATCCAGTGATCAACAGCATGAGCATCGATCTGCGCAATTGGGAACCGATGGCATGTGTCAACCAAGTCAGCGAGCCTGACCACCCGATCCCGTAAGTCGCCTCTTACGACAAGCATAGTCGCCTTTTGTGGCAAGCAGGGGTTGCTGAAGACCTATTCTACCCTGGATCTTCACGGGTCCCGACAAGCATTGTTTGCTGAAGACCACTTGAACCATGATCTTTATTTAGGTAGTTCTGTATGGACATGTGATACAAGTACTCACACCAAATCCAAGCCCACCAGGAGCGCCTGGCTGTGGGGCGTAGGGTAGTCCTCCTGGGGCGGAACCATATGCTGCTGCTGAAGCTGAGTCAGGTGTGGGCATACTCACCTGGCATAACACATCAGTGGATAACAGTAAACATACATACTAGATATAAAAAATTTAAAGGGTGGAACAAAATACCAAACTTTCAACTGACAGGGAAATCTACAAACCCCACTCAATAGATGCCCTTGTCATGAAGGGTAATTGGAGTTGGATTTTTGCTTATATACTTAGTAAATCTTTCTGGCTTCAGAATAATAATTAATATAATTATCTGTTATTTCTAACCCTGCAGAATGCTATTCCCCCATCCCCCTTCCCCTGGTCGTTTTGCATAATGTAACAATTATCAATGTATATATAATAAAACATATTTTGATGTTTATCATGCCGAAGTCAAATGTTCGTTATTTTTCCAAAATGACCAAATACTCTATAATCAATAATGTGTCAGTACTTACCTGTGCACCTGGGTAACCACCTGGGGCTGCAGGGTAGGAAGGGGCACCTGGCATGCCCCCTGCCGGAGGGTAACCACCCTGACCATGGGGGTAGGCTCCACCTGCTGGAGGGTAACCGCCGGGTGGTCCATAAGGGGGATAACTCATGTTTGTTTTTCCTTTAAACACAGCACACAAATAATTCATTTTTCACAGAATGAATGTATAAAAAAATATTTCCTCAAATTTCTTCTGTGGGTTTGCATTAATGTCTAAAATTAAGAATTTCTCCTTCACAAAACAAAACAGTGATATGTTCTTCCTATATTGTAATGGGATTAGATATGTATGAACTGCAGGTAGTGCTTATCCTTTTAAAAAAAAATGGGAATCAAAAATGGGAATCTGAGTTTGGTTTTAGAGCAATATTCCAGCAACATCATGGAGGGACACCAGAAATGGGAGTGTACCCATGTGGGATTCAGATCTTTGACGAGCCAACACACTCAGCCCCAGTGAGTGAGTGAGTTCAGTTTTACGCCACACTCAGCAATACTCCAGCTATCTGTAAACAATCGAGTCTGGACCAGACATTCCAGTGATCAACAGCATGAGCACCGATCTGTGCAATTGGGAACCGATGACATATGTCAACCAAGTCAGCGAGCCTGACCACCTGATCCTGTTAGTCGCCTCTTACGACAAGCATTGGTTACTGAAGGAACATTCTAACGGGTGGGAATCAGAAGAAAACTCTCTCTTGTCATGTAATCATATTTATGTCTAAGCTTTGTTCAAGAAATGAAAATGGAATTGGAATTCGAACAATTTGGAACTTCAAATTATTTTCATCATACAGACATGTTGCTAATGCACTGAACTGAAAATTATTATGAGTTTTGATGGTATTTGGGTTTACTGATGTACAAGATGAGTCAGAACATGAGCGGGAACAAACTCCAATATATCTTAATATCTAAAGTCAGCAAGAAATGTAAGTTCTCAAGTAGGAAAGACAAATTGCTGAACACAAAATATTCAACTAAGTTAATGCTATGAAGGGGAGATAATCTATTTCAGTGATAAAATTATCCCTGTGTCATTGTTGATAAGTAAAGAAGTAATAAATATTTTCAATTTACATTGTTAGATATGTATTAAATTACAAGCATATTTTCTGTGTCACACAGACCCAATATGTTGTTCACGCAGACTTGAAATCATTGATGTGTATAGGTTTGTTTTCATTATTTTTACATTTACCAAACTACTGGCTACAAAACCTCCCAACTGCAACTTTCTGATGTGGATTTTCCACCAGCTTGAACAAACTCAATCAGAATGACATCCTGTCAGGCACATTCCAGGATGTCATGGCTATACTTATACTCTGTACTTCCCAAACCATTTTCTGTGAATATATCCAATCCTGGTATTTTGATTCAAACAAAGAAAAAGAAGAGAAGGATATGGCAAATATTTCACAGCTTACTGTGTTAAATGGTATTACAAGAGTATGGTTAAGAACTATATAAAAAAAACCTTCTGTAATGAGTCAAGCATTATTTACAAATTACTGGAACATCATTACTATGTTGAGAACAATATTACTATTTTGATAAAACTTGACTTATTTATGTTTTCAGATTGATTACTTTTGGCAAGACATTTCAATCAAACAGAAAGGTACAGTTCATTCCAGGGCATTGCAATATCTGTCTCAATAAAGACGCAAGAATTATCACGCACATGAGCAATTTGGGTGTACAATTTCTAACTGACATGCTTCTCATGACATTAACATTCCACAACATGCATATGCTTTGAGTGCAGGAAGTGAGTGTTGTGCATTGTAATGAAACAAACTCCATCACAACACATTGTAAAGAACTTTGGCAAAATCTCAAATTATATTGCTCTTATATTTACACTGTTAGGAGCTTTGTTGCAGTATTTGACACATAATAAAGCTGCTTGAAAGGGCTCTTGTCATTCATGGGTAAAACTTTCTATCTGCATGTCAGAAAATCAAAAACAGTAATAGTGTCAGTGTCTAAATATGACTAAAGTCTTGTGATGGGTATCATGGGACAGTCAAAGATTCTCCTATTTGTGAAACTGTTTATCATCCAATGAAAGGTGGGTGAAACATTGACCTGCACAAAGCAAAGTGATTGGGTTGAGCTTATATTTGGGACAAATTGTAAACAACTCAGTTTGTTAGTTGTTTACTGCTGACATCATGAACATCGATCTACGCAACTGGGATACAGTAACATGTATAGGTCCGTCTCCTATTCTCGAGGGTTTCCTATTCTCGCGGTAAACACATTTTCTGTCGAAATCGCCGATGCGTGACACTTAGCGGTTGTTTCCATCACCGACTGGTAACTAGGAAGTGGACCAAGTTTGTGAGTGATCAAAATCTTGCAGTGTCACGAATATTGGGGAGTTTATACCAACTTGGACATATCATTCCTTTTTCTCGCCCTTTGCAGCAGGATTGCTCTTACATACACTCAATAACGTTAATTCCTGGTAATACCGCAAGAATAGGAGAAGCCTCGTTTCGTCAATGGCGGATGGCATTGTTTATCACCGGGATCACGAGTGGTAATTCACCTGATGGATCTGGCAGCTGATGGATGCAGATGTTAAAGGAGAAGGCCCTTCATTTAAAAACAACAAGCATTCATAAAATATGAATTGTTTGTGTTATTTTTTCTGCCGATATCCGTAAGTACTGCGAGAATAGGAAATGCCTTCTTATCAACCAAACCAGCGAGCCTGTTAATCGCCTCTTACGACAGGCATGGGTTGCTGAAGACCAATTCTGACCTGGATCTTCATAGGGCTAAATAACTCTGAACAAGCACCATGCCATTCTAAAAGATAGGATCTACAATCATTTATTTTCACAAATATCCCAATTTGGGGGCTAAAGTCCACTATTTTGGACTACAAGAACTATCACTGAAAACAGCCAACAGAGCATGGCATCTCATCGATATCATTTCACAGGAATGGTTCCTATTTCCGGATAGGCATGACCTTTATCGCACTTACGCAACACTGCCGTGTCAGTTTTGAGTAATTAGCCTAACATTATGTTGTATCACGGTTTAGTCGTCAAAAATATTTTTCTTGATCGTTATTCCACCAGTCGTTTTACTTTTAGAATCTATGCTCTATACAAATACATGAAACACTGTACCTAAGATGAATGTGCTATTTTAACTTAACACATATATTCTGTAAATTCTGCAATGTAAATAGGCTCCTAAATTAGTTTCGCCGCTGCTATTTCCTAATCCGGTGTCCATGGCATGAGCGACCATGGCCTACATATTGTCGATATTTCATTGACCAGTTTATCATCAACTGAATGACCAAATCAAGCGATAGGATTTACAGCTACATAGTACATAACGTACCTTCGGTGTCTGTTCACTCCAGCTAGCACAACCTGTCTTCAACTAACCAGTCTCAAATGTGAAATTGAAGCGAAAACACTCTCAAGGCGTATCTTCTTCCGTGAACGCTATTATTGCCACATACCAGTGAGAGTTACCTACCCTTGGTGCGTTTTGGTGCGAAATGTTAGAGTAAAACGTGAACGTAGATTAATTGCATAATTATATTTTTCAGTTAATTAGATGTCACATGTATCAATTTTGTCTCACTATTGCCAGAAAATATACACTGTACTCACAAGCATGTGAATTGAAGTAAAATCAACTTATTACATGATTTTAAGTTCACGACCACATCGCACAAACGCATCCAGTGATAAAGCATTGCGAAAGTGACCGTGACGTCAGAAAATACTGATGAACGTCATAATCAATTCATTTCGTGTCTTGTGATGAAATGCTCACAAGAGACGTATTACATTACGACCTAATATCTTGTGTAGATTTATAAATATCACTGACGGATCAAGGATATGGTCTTGAGTAGCTAATAGTAAACTTACATAAATAAATATAATAGTTATTAAAATAAATAAAGATGCTCACCGGCGTACAGAGCCAACATTTATAGAAATGCACAACACAGATTTCCCTACCACATATTTCTGCTTTATCTTCAGGTATGGTGAATTGACTTTTAAAAATAGTACGGATTTAAATTAGCATCTCTGTCAAATGTTTGTGAAATTTAGGGATGGCTCATGGTGGACTTGGACGGGGAATGCAAGAATACTTACATTTATTTTGCAAAATCATTTTATCACCCATACTCCTATAATAATCTCCATATACATATACAACTGTGAAGCCATTTATAAGTATAAATAGACCACGGCACTGAATACTGATAATTCGGATTTCACAAGCAATCTTAATTACAAATATGAAGCTGTATTCAGGTAACAGTTCTTGCTAACGACCAACTTAATGATGACGGCGAGAGATGAGTCACGTCGAATATATCCTGTGGTTGTTTGTTTTAAAGAGTTTCCGTGACATGGGGTGACAAAACAGTTGGTTAATCACGTCTGTAGGTGATGGAGTCACGCGTGGGAGTACGAGGTGAACGTTTACAGTCAATCTACTGTCACCATTAGTTCGTGCGTCCCTTTCTTGCCCGTAGATTTGTGCTAGATCTATGCTCCAAACTTTCAGAGGTCTTCCGATCATACGGTTCTTGCGGGGACCGGAGAACAACAACGCATGTACAGTCATTGGACATAAGTATTCGTCACTGTGCATAATTTCCATAGACTTGCATGTTAATTTGGTGCAGCTAGAAAAATTATCTTGAATTTATTTGTCGTTTGATCTTGTTCATATTTTGCACATGTGTCATGAATCATCTCAGTTGCAAAGACATAATTTCCGTTTTATTTTCCATTCAGTATTTCAAGAATGACCACACTTTGATTGATGCGTGTCATGGTTAAAACAATTTTAAACATGGCGGTCTATGGGGAATGAATACACAGTGTTGTATATATGTTACTCATGTAACTACAATGCGAAAAATACTTGAAGGAACATTACATGGAAATTATGTATCTGTGACCAAGATGATTTCCTGCACAATTTGACAACCAAATAACGAAAGCTGAATTAATGAAAATTATTACAGCTACACTAAAATAACATGCAAGTCTATGAGAATTTTGCCGACTGACGAATACTTATGTCCCATGACTGTATGTCTTACAGGAGACCAAACTGGATTGATTGGCCATAACGAGAATCGTGTGGAAGATTGGACACTTAGGAAATAAACATACTGTGTCGGAAAATCAGAGGTATATAACAAAATTTTAATAGCTCTAAATTTGATTTAAAACCGAACTTGTGGAAGTCGCGCTGGCTGAGTGGGTTAGGCGGCTGACTGTGTGTCCTGGCGATTAGGTGCCTGACTCTGAGGGTGTGGGACTCAACCCAACAAAAGTACTAGAATCTGTACTATACGTAGAGGGTAATGTCCGAGTAACTCTCCATTCCTTAAAAATAATGGAGCCGAGGCCCCGGAGAACGAGCACATGTATTTTAAGGAATGGAGAATTGAGATTACCTACTTAAATACATTCGAAGTATTGGGAATATTTCTGTTATCAAAATTAACTAAGACAAAAAAGGTATAATCCCTGAAAAGTAATAACATATGAATGACGTCACAAATGTAATTTATGACATATGTTACATATGACCACTTTCTAAATGACACTGTGTAATCACATTGGCGGATCGGGGGTGGGGAAGGGCAGCCCCCTTTGAAAATGACTTAAGACCACACTGAAGATTTTTTTGCGTTGGCGGAGCCAATGGGGGGTTCAGGGTGTTTCGAACCCCCTGAAACACCCCAGCCGTCTCCAAATTCCTGGATCCGCCCATGTATCAGGTGCAGACTGGCTGGCTGGTTAACGCCGCACCAACCAATATTCCAGCCATATGGCGGCGGTCTGTATATAATCGATCCTGGACCAGACAATCAAGTGATCAACAGCATGAGCATCGGTCTACGCAGCTGGGATACGATGACATGTGTCCACCAAGTCAGCGCGCCTGACCACCCGATCCCGTTGCTCGCGTCTTACGACAAGCCTGGGTTGCTCCAACCGGGATCTTCACGGGTTCAGAACCTCTGCACGATGCGGGCTTTGTGTGTACGAGGGGCGTTCAAAAAGTAGTCGGCCTAACTATATCCTCGATGTCCAATGTTTGAAAAGCTTCTATTTTATTTTGAAGGAATCATTAGCAAAGCCATATCCAAAATTTCACATATGTGGGTAATGTGGTTAACGAGATATTAGTCATCACAACACTGTAATATGTCATAACAGAATTGCAGAAAATGAAAAACCTTCTGACATATGGTACCTCTTGAATCATGATATGTCCTCAGATAATATCATATAAAGTAAGTTTGGTATAGTATTGGATAACTTACCGTCATAATCAAAGATTTTAATTTATATTTAGACTTGGGCTGTTTTTTAAGGACATCCCCAGTTTAATCTTTCAAAACATTGTGTCCAGATATTCAAGCTGGCACTGTTTACAATGTGTTGAAAGCTGACACTTATGTGACCATTCAGTATTTAGTTTGAACACTTGGCATCATGTATTAATAAGTGAAAACATTAAAAGAAGCTATATCCTCATCTGAAAGGAGGTGGGTAGTGTCAAAACAAGCTCTTTCAGTAGACATGAAAGGGGAGAGGGAAGGGGAGGGAGGAGTCACTTTAACAAGCGATTGTAGTTTCAAATTGCTTTTAAATGCACTTTAATATAAGTTTGATTCTAGCGGACTTCCGCCTATCTCAAACACACAAAATGTTTCCTGCATATTTTGTTTCCTTGGGTTTGTAATGCATTTATTGTAGATTTTGCGTTTTGTTTTTTGTTGTTGTTGTTGTGTTGTTGTTGTTTTGGGTTTTTTTTGCTTTTTTGTTGTTTCTTGGGGGGATATCAAGATACAAAGACAAACAAAAAGGGGATCGTGAGGCTGGAACAATGTAAAACCAATTTGCCTTGAGGTTGACAGATAATATCTAGAAAATAAAACACAACAACAGTTGCATTTGTATCATTCTCTTGGTGACGCTGACTACCTTTTGAATTGGATGTCCCGTTATTTCATTTCATTGCGCTACTTGCTTAGATGGATGATCATGATGTCAATCACTGGATTGTCTGGTCCAGACTCGTGCGGCGTCAAACAACACACATACACGCACAGATTTCCCTAATTGTATGCATACAAAACACCGACAGCTTATCTAGAGAAGAGACACTCATACTCAAATAGATCCACATAAACATATATATATATATACATATATGCCAGGACACATATATATGCATAGGATAAATCGAGATAACCGAATTCAAGTTAACGAGGCTTCTGTCTTCATCATATATTTCTGTATCTGTCAATCACATATATGCCCTACCAAATTATTATACGTGCAGTAGATTTAAATAGATGGCAATAGCTGACGAATCACATCCTCATCCTGCGATCATCGAGAGTTTCCTATTGCCCCGTCCTGCACACATATGTCTACCTTTTCAGTATATGCATGTTTTATGGTCGACATGTTTCGCTGGCATGTGCATGAGTGTAGAAACGCATATAGCACGGCTGCGGGTACAAAGTGTATAGTTGGACAAAGACACTGAGGGCTGACATTAATTGATTCGCCGACATTGCAAAGTCGAGATGACACGCACACACACATTCAAACGCCCACGCACACAGAAGCAAGCGCACAGACACGCAAGGAGACGACTCTTTCAGAATTGTGCGAATACTAGCACTGACAGACGTTGAAAAGGATTTTCGACAAGGAGGGTACGTTTTATATATTTACAATTCGTATCGGGTGTGTTAATAAAGATATTGTGGCAGTGGTGTAATCCGTTTACGAGGGAGCAGCAATAAAACTATTGAATGTATACATTTATATGTACGTTGAACGCATGTTGGTGCACGCTCACCACCACAACCATTCAGTCCCATTCGCGTAAACAGGGCGCATGCTGTGGGCATTTAGGTATTTGTGTCCTGGGTTTTGCAGGACACAGGGACATAAGGAACATTAATACATATCCATACAAATAAATATATGTGAAATAACATGAGCTCATGTGCGCAATAGGGCGGTGGGGTAGCCTAGTGGTTAAAGCGTTGGCTCGTCACGCCGAAGACCCGGGTTCGATTCCCCACATGGGTGCAATGTGTGAAGCCCATTTCTGGTGTCCCCCGCCGTGATGTTGTTGGAATATTGCTAAAAGCGGCGTAAAACCAAACTCAGTCAGTCAGTCACTCAGTCACTCTTCTGATTCCCATTTTTTTAATATAAAAGGATAAGCAATACCTGCGCACCTGTCATGTGCGCAATATCCTTTCATTACTGTAAAGAGGCGTAAAAGGACCATGGACTTATTGCTTGTTGAAAAGTGGCCATCATATCGAAGCCATTTATTGAGAACGGAAAATGCACAGTAATGTGTCGGAAATAGATTCTCGGCACTGTGTTTATATTCCCCACGTGGGTACAATGTGTAAAGCCCATTTCTGGTGTCCCCCGCCGTGATATTGCTGGAATATTGCTAAAAGCAGCGTAAAACCAAACTAGCTCACTCACCAGTAGAATGACTCAAAGCCGACCAGCCCATGTATTACCGTTAGTCTAATACGTACGAATGCTACGAGAAAAGTTACGAGATCTTAGGCTTACGAGAGCTTTGTGAAACGGGGCCCTGGCGGTCAGAGTTGGTCTGTCGTTTTCATATGACTGCAAAATTTGGTTTTGTTGCAATTATTAGATTTTGTGTTAGTGTGCAATTCATTGGTCTCAAATGAAATCAAACGGACAATGAGTTGGTGGGTTACTGGTTGAGGCTCATGAAGACGTGTTGTAGGTGGTTCAGCTCATGTTCTAGGTCATGGCTGCTGGAGCAAATGTTCTTAGCGTGCTTGATCAGGGTTGAGATGACGCCAGTCTTAGTTTTTAGGAGGGTGGTTTGACAAATTCGAAATCTTATCCTACAAGAATCAGGACTTCACACAAAAAATCAGCTTCGAAATCAGCTTCTCCCTCCACCCACCCTGTTTATTGGTTGTATCACTAGATCCATTTGTTGTTCTAAGTCCCCAACTGGCCGCTCCCAATTATGTATATTGGACAAAACATACAATGTTCATAATAATAATAATACAGTAGATTTGTTATGCGCCAAAACTCCAGGCACTTGGTGTCTGCTCATGGCGCTACACAAAATTAAAAAACACTGCAGTAGAGGCGCTATATTTTCACTGGTATATCAATCCTTATAGAACTTTTGGAAGAGATGAGTCTTTATGCAGATTTTAAAGTTTGTCAATGATGGGGATTTCTTTATTCCCAAGGGAAGATCGTTCCACAGAGTTGGGGACATGTAAGCAAATGATCTCTGTCCATACTTTTTGAGGCGGGATTTGGGTACTTTTAGAAGTAACTGATCAGCAGATCTTAGTGTCCGAGAAGGTTCATATTTCTCAATCAATTCTGTCAGATAGGCAGGAGCTGTTTGATTGACACATTTATATGTCAATGTGAGAATCTTGTATTGGACTCGAGCTTGGACTGGGAGCCAGTGTAGGGAAGTTAGCACTGGTGTTATATGTGCACACTTCCTCGTTCGGGTCACGATCCGTGCTGCAGTGTTTTGGACCCGTTAGACTTTCGCAAACTGTTCCTGGGTTAGAACATGTATATATACTTCTCATCATTTGGTTGTAGTCACTTTTAGCTTCATAACAGTGTAAGAATCTACATCGAAACGTCGCTCTATACAATAAAACAAGATGTTGTCTTCCATAAAGTTATATGTTTCATTTTTGACTCACCAACTTCTAGAATGCCGTTCAAACAATGTTTTATTTGGATATGACGTGTAACTGCTATAACTGTGAAATGAGATTTATCAAAGTGGTTAAAACAGGCTACCTAAAGAAAAGAGTCAATTAAATCTTTTATGTACTTAATCAATTGCCTTCCAATACAGTATGTGTCAGTTTCGTTAACCTAAATGATGATTTAAACCATTTATTTCACAATATATTTGCAATTCAGTATCACAGAAATAACAATGCATATTTACCAGTTGGCCTCCAGAAATGTAGTGTCGTCTGCTCTTTGAATATCAGGTAAAGCTATCAATGATGACAAGTTTGGTATTCAATTTGGAGAAAACAGTGCTGTAAAATTCACTGCATCATAGTTGAACGACAGGGAAATAGATTCTTTCATTTTGTCTGTGTAATTATTTCAACTTTAATCAAAATCTAAATGCGAAAACACGGCTTAAATGGCCGTGTACTCACTCTTTTATTCACAATGTTGGGCCAACGCTGGCCGAACCTTTTGAAATAGATGTAAGATCAAGGAAAATAGGCAGAGTTTTTCAAATGTTGGCCCACTGTTGGACCAACGTGTCTAAAGCCACTGTTACTTTTAAGTCATTAAGATAACGTTGGGCCAATGTTGTCAAACCGTTGGCCAACCAACCATATACCAACATTGGCCCAACACACCTTTGCTATCTGGGATGGTCTCTGGTCCATTCACTTCATCACGGATGAAGTTTAAGGTGTTTTTACTCATTATGCTGAAGACCCCGGGTTAATTCCCCACATGGGTACAGTGTGAGAAGCCCATTTCTGTTGTCCCCTGCCATGAAATTGCTGGAATATTGATAAAAGAGGCATTAAACCCAACTATCTCACTCACTAACGTTATACAATCACCATGGTAACTGATCTTATGAAAGATGGAGAAAGACAAATAATACAGGAAGAAAGGGACAGTGCACACATGTTTATTTCCTGTGTTTACAGAAAGTTTTTGTAATGAATCAAACTCATCAAGATCAGATCTTAGAGCTAGCTACCATAGTGATCACTTTGATCTGATTTTAACCAGTTACATGTCAATACTACACGTATGAGAAATGATAGATGCTTGGCTCAATATGTACATCTGTAGTATCAACCCTGACAGCTTATATTTACAATAAACAGATAAGAATCTTTATTTCCAAGGTTGATACAACATTCTGGTAATAAATATACTTCTGGGCCTAGATTTTCGAAGCGTTCATAGCCCGACAAACTTCTTAAGCCCATCCTTAACACATTGGCTACGATCAAAGTTAAGAATTCTTTGGCCGTAGTATGAACGTTTCAAAAATCTAGGCCCAGTTCTTCACTATAAAGAATGTGGCAGATAGCATCTGCTTGGCTCAGTATGTACACCATTAGCAATTTTGTTTTCTTTCCAGGTCTGATGTCCATGGAGATTAACTCATCCTAGAAGCCTTTTCATATGTGTTGTGCATGCCATATATATTCAAAATGGAAAAAATACAAAAATAGAATAAAAATTAAATGAACCCTTTTTCCAAACGAACCCTTCTCTTAGCAGGTAAACATTTTTACTAATTCACCTCACTTGGTGTCATTTTTAACAGCATTTTGAACATTGGCCAAGCAATAAACAACAGTTCTATTCTTGACAGATAGACACAGTTACTTTGTTCCCCAAATGAAAGTTATGTAATCTTATTTTATTTTATTTGTTTCAAGTATCACAATTCAGGTACTGTCTTGAAATTTACTGAGCACTTCAGTCTCTTGGGTGTTATAACCATGACCTGTAAACACTACCTAAAATCAGGTCCATCTAGTTTATAACTAGAAGACCCGTGAAGAAATGAAGTCCAGCCTAGTTGTATTATAGCACAATCACATGAACCTATAATTAATATATTTGTTCATGCTAATACACAATTCCTTGAAGGTTCCAAGGAATTGTACAACACAGACAGCTCACACTACCAGTTGTTGACAACTGACACCAGTTAGACACACCTGACTGTACAACACAGAAAGTTCACCCCAGCTGGTTACAACTGACACCAGAGAGACATATGTGGATGTACAACACAGACAGCTCACCCTATCAGCTGGTTACAACTGACCAAGGTGAGCACTTATGTTAATGTACAACACAGAGAGCTCACCCTATCAGCTGGTTACAACTGACCAAGATGAGCACTTATGTGAATGTACAACACAGACAGCTCACACTACCAGTTGTTGACAACTGACACCAGTTAGACACATGTGCCTGTACAACACAGAAAGTTCACCCCAGCTGGTTACAACTGACACCAGAGAGACATATGTGGATGTACAACACAGACAGCTCACCCTATCAGCTGGTTACAACTGACCAAGGTGAGCACTTATGTTAATGTACAACACAGAGAGCTCACCCTATCAGCTGGTTACAACTGACCAAGATGAGCACTTATGTGAATGTACAACACAGACAGCTCACACTACCAGTTGTTGACAACTGACACCAGTTAGACACATGTGCCTGTACAACACAGAAAGTTCACCCCAGCTGGTTACAACTGACACCAGAGACATATGTGAATGTACAACACAGACAGCTCACCCTATCAGCTGGTTACAACTGACCAAGGTGAGCACTTATGTTAATGTACAACACAGAGAGCTCACCCTATCAGCTGGTTACAACTGACCAAGATGAGCACTTATGTGAATGTACAACACAGACAGCTCACACTACCAGTTGTTGACAACTGACACCAGTTAGACACATGTGCCTGTACAACACAGAAAGTTCACCCCAGCTGGTTACAACTGACACCAGAGAGACATATGTGGATGTACAACACAGACAGCTCACCCTATCAGCTGGTTACAACTGACCAAGGTGAGCACTTATGTGAATGTACAACACAGAGAGCTCACCCTATCAGCTGGTTACAACTGACCAACATGAGCACTGATGTGAACATATAAGATGGACAGCTCACACACAGACATTCTAAGGATTCAATGTTTCAGTGACAAATTTCTTCAGATTACAATGTTCTAAACCATGACCCAGGTTACTAACTGAGGGCTCCCCAGATGCTGACTTCCAGACTTTGAGGATAGCAAAGATCATATCTGTCCTGTCCTTTCTCTCATACTCCTTCCTGATCCTGTCTATATCAACCTGGCTTACTTCCAAGTGTAGTGCTGAAACCAAGAAAAACTCATCAGACAAGATTTTCTTGTTTGCAATGTGGTTCTGGTCACATGTTTAATGGTTAAAAAATAAATTCAATTCTGTGCTTGAACAAATATACAACTCAAGTTTCAAAACATCCTATTTTTAGGGCTCCTTGCCACAAGGCAGAAGACCTATTGTTACTTTTCGTGTTTTTATTACTAGTATTTATTTATTATTTTGTTCAACTCGTTCAAAGAGCACCATAACAGCATCGCTTGAAAAGAATCACCCAGATGCCCACCGAGGTGTAGATATTCCCCATAAAAATCTCAAGGCTCTAGGCCTAAGAGCAAAGGGCAGATAATGCAAAATTAATTCAAAATTTTAAATTTCCAAAGCAATAATATCCGAAACTATATGTCCAATGACTACTAAATTTCTGGGGCAGCTCTGGAATCTGATTACCTTCAATTTCAACTGCAGAAACCATGGGGCTAAGAGGCACCGTTTGGACGCCATATTGGATTGAAGGAAATTTGACCTTTTTGATGGGTAGGCATTTCCGCAATCCATAACTCTGAATGTGTGAGGTCTAGAACTTTGCAAATTTGCACATATAAAGTTTATATTTCAAATATGAATAACCTGTTGTTGTTTAATTTCTACTAAAATGTATCTTAAAAAAATCACAGCGGCATTACTATTTCAGCTACGCAGCTAGAATCTGGCAGCATGCAGTAAGGTCCATATTTGGAAGGTCCGCTCTCAGGTCAAAAACGTGTTCTGGCTCCATTTCAATGCAGTTCAATCTTTGCAATCTAGTTTTACAGAACGTCCATTACTTCTAGTTAAAATGTTTTCAGCCAGCTGCATTAAATTTGTCAGAGCTGGTGGGGATGTCATCCTTTCAGTTAAAACAAATAAATGATTAGCAATTGAACGTGCAACCATTATTCTTATTTCTTCGAATTTCTAATAAAGCCAACACGTTTCCAAAGCCATACCACACAATCCTTTGTATCTAGCCCTCAACCATTAGAATTCAAAGTTAATAACTGAAGCTTTTCTCATTACTGATAGCAATATGCTCCATATTACCTGTAGCCATTACTACTTTCGACATCTACGTACAAATGGCTAGATTGTATTACAGCCAAGGAGCCTGACATGGCTGCTCACAACTATATTTATATATATATGACTGTAGACATCTTCCATATCTGTGTGTATTGCAACAACATGGTGCCTATGCTGTTGGTCATGGTAGAGTTACATCCCTTTGGTGTGCCAGAAACCTATGATGATAGGTTTGAATCCTGTTTTGCACTGTACCTGTGTTTAGGTTTTACAGCACCCTAACCCATTAGTGTGGGTTTTGAACAAAGTGATAAATAGATTTCGATAGCTTCCTTCCACCTTAAATTGACAAGCTGACAAATTTCTCACCTAATTTTCTATATTTATCGTCTTCAAATCGTAGCTTGTTGGCAAGTTCTTTTAATTCGGTATCTGTGACTGTTCTTCTTGAACCTAGAAAAGATAATATAGAGTGAGTGAGTGTGTTGGGTTTTACACCACTTTTAGCAATATTCCAGCAATATCACGGTGGGGGACACCAGAAATGGGCTTCACACGTTGTGCCTATGTAGAGAATTGAACCTTGGCCTTCGGCGTGACGAGCGAACGCTTTAACCACTAGACTTCCCCACCACCCCAGATAATACAGACATAAGGAAAGATAATATAGACATAAGGCAAGATAATATAGACATAAGGCAAGATAATATAGACATAAGGAAAGATAATATAGACATAAGGAAAGATAATATAGACATAAGGAAAGGTGATATAGACATAAGGAAAGATAATATAGACATAAGGAAAGGTGATATAGACATAAGGAAAGATAATATAGACATAAGGCAAGGTGATATAGACATAAGGAAAGATAATATAGACATAAGGAAAGATAATATAGACATAAGGAAAGATAATATAGACATAAGGAAAGATAATACAGACAAAAGGAAAGGTGATGTAGACATAAGGAAAGATAATATAGACATGAGGAAAGGTGATATAGACATAAGGCAAGATAATATAGACATAAGGCAAGATAATACAGACATAAGGCAAGATAATATAGACATAAGGCAAGATAATATAGACATAAGGCAAGATAATATAGACATACAGCAAGATAATATAGACATAAGGAAAGGTGATATAGACATAAGGAAAGATAATATAGACATAAGGAAAGGTGATATAGACATAAGGAAAGATAATACAGACAAAAGGAAAGGTGATATAGACATAAGGAAAGATAATATAGACATGAGGAAAGGTGATATAGACATAAGGCAAGATAATATAGACATAAGGCAAGATAATACAGACATAAGGCAAGATAATATAGACATAAGGCAAGATAATATAGACATAAGGCAAGATAATATAGACATACAGCAAGATAATATAGACATAAGGAAAGGTGATATAGACATAAGGAAAGATAATATAGACATAAGGAAAGGTGATATAGACATAAGGAAAGATAATATAGACATAAGGCAAGGTGATATAGACATAAGGAAAGATAATATAGACATAAGGAAAGATAATATAGACATAAGGAAAGATAATACAGACAAAAGGAAAGGTGATATAGACATAAGGAAAGATAATATAGACATGAGGAAAGGTGATATAGACATAAGGCAAGATAATATAGACATAAGGCAAGATAATACAGACATAAGGCAAGATAATATAGACATAAGGCAAGATAATATAGACATAAGGCAAGATAATATAGACATAAGGAAAGATAATATAGACATAAGGAAAGATAATATAGACATAAGGAAAGGTGATATAGACACAATGAAAGATAATATAGACATAAGGAAAGGTGATATAGACATAAGGAAAGATAATATAGACATAAGGAAAGATAATATAGACAAAAGGAAAGATAAAATATACATAAGGAAAGATAATATAGACATAAGGCAAGATAATTTAGACATGAGGAATATCATAATTACAAAATGTGCATCAGTTGATGAGCTTAATGATATTACGGTACAATAGGTTTCATGAGCATGACATTTCTGGAATATACACAAAGCATATTTGAGAACTGATTGTTACCACTAGTTATTGATCAGTTTGTCCAACTAGTTGATGAAACTTGTGTTGAGGAATGAATAAACTTGAGAAAAAAAGGATTCATTAATCTTGAATAGTTGATAATAATCATTGGTTACCACAGACCTAGCAATTTGCCATGTAATATTCCAACAAGACAAATTAGTACATCTTATCATTAGTTTTACAGTTTCTTCTTCTTTCCTTGCTTAATTTACTTAATAAAACAATTAATCCTTGAATAATGAAAACAAGAATGTGTGTCTCCTTCAGGATTTTCACTTACTTTCCACATTTAAAAGGTTAAAGCAAACCATGAGTTGTATTTTTATTTGTATTTGTGTGTGTGTGTGTGTGTGTGTGTGTGTGTGTGTGAACATGCGTGGGTTGGACTAAGAATAATAATTGTTGTTTAACGCTGCATTTAGCAATATTCCAGCGATAAAGCAACAGTCTGTAAATAATCGCGTCTGAACCAAACAATCAAGTGATCAACAGCATGAGCATCCATCTACACAATTGGGATATGAAGACATGTCAACCAAGTCAGCAAGCTTGACCACCTCGATCCCGTTAGTCAGCCTCTTCTACGACAAGTGTGGGTTGCTGAAGACCAATTCTTGCCCGATCTTCACATACCCAAATCGCGGATATTTTGCAAGGCTGCATGTCCTTTTCTGTGGTTGCAAATGTCAGTGTAATACCATTCTGTTTAACATCACACACCAGTTTTAAATAGACCGTAATCGTTTCTGTTGACAATCATGTGTGTTTTACACCCATATGTGTCAGAAACAGAAATTGTTTTTCAGGTTGAAGAAAAAAGATGTTGAGGTTCTGTTTCTGTGTATGGAGCCACATGACAACAATTACAACAAACAACAAGCGAAATTAATCAACATATACCTTGTACCCGTTGGCCAAGATGTCTGACAAATGGGGATATTTGTCACAAGGCACCAGTCAATTTCTAATCACTTATTGCACATGTCTCTTGAGACTTAGACATTCCATCAATTCAGGATCATAAAGTAATAAATACCTAAAATTTCAATGTATCTGTCTGTTTTCATGTCTGTGCGTTGGTTGTTCCTGTTCTCTTCTTCATCTTCGTCGGAGGAAGATTCGGAGGAGGAGGGGGGGGAGAGTAATGGGGGGGACGCCAGTTTGGTTGTTGGTTGTAGGTTGGTTGTTGTCTCGGTGTTCGTCGAGTCTCCCGGAACTGAACAGAGTCCTCGATCCGCCCTTTCTGTATGTAGTAAATGTCTCTTTGGCCTGTGTTGTTGTCGATGCAGTCAAATACGTTGATGGTGGCATTTTCAAGGAGATACACACAAACTGGTTTCTGATTGTCACTGTAACATACAACATAGCGAGAGGGTGAGAGGGTGGGTGGGTGAGTGAGTTTAGTTTTACACGGCTTTTAGCAATATTCCAGCAATACAAGTCAAAACATTGATTACACAACAGTTTTGTTTCCTGTTGACTGGGTTCCATCCTATTGAGAAACTTAGTACAATAACCAGTCCAGACTTTTGAGACCAATTCATTTAACTGCATACATAAATATTAATCAGTATTTTTTAATACATCTAAGCACTTGTATATTGCAACACTACGCTCCTTCTTATCCTTGCAAACACGTCATACAGCGAGCTCTGACAAACGGAAACATGGAAATCATGGAAATCTCAAATGGGCTCTGCCGCTAGAACAGTTTGTCGGTCTGGTACGGACTTGATATTATATCAATCAAATTGTGCGTTACAGAACTACTCTGGATAAGCGCATAAAGACACATAACAGGTGTAACCAGTGAGTCAGATGCATTGTGAATCATTTTAAGACCTCATCAAACGGGGGCAGTTCAGACGTCTTTGTTAAGGTCATGCTGCCTACACCTCAGCCATAAAATATAGAAATAACGATGTTACTAAAGTTTAAAATTAAATTTCATTCAGAATACCATTTTCTTATGAAACAAGGAATTGGTATTCAGTGTAACCATAGTTGTTTGTGGTGTCTCTTTTCACTTTCACACAGAGAATTCGGATCGGGCTGAAAAGTAGGTCATTGTCTGAATAGGTTAATGAGACTCATGTTTCGATTTGCATAGCAGCGGACACCAGAAATGGGCTTCACACCATGTACCTATGTGGGGAATCAAACCTGGGTCATTGGGGTGACAAGTGAACACTTTAACCACTGCCCCACATGCAACACTGGGTTGGTAAGGCACAAAGCAGTCTCTTGCACCAGGAAAGTAATAAAGTGGTATCAATGCTCATCAGGAACTATATGAATGTCATATTGGTTTAGTTCTAGTTTGTTTCAACATTGCACTCAGCAAGATTCCACCTGCGCCACAGTGATATCCAAGTCCAGTGATTGACATCATGAGCATCAGTCAACACAGTTGGAATACAATGAGTGAGTGAGTGAGTTGGATTCAATGCCACTTTAAGCAATATTCCAGCAGTATCACGGCGGGGGACACGAGAAATGGGCTTCACATATTTTACCCATGTGGGGAATCGAACCCGCGCTTCAGCGTGACAAGTTTAACGCTTAAACCACTAGGCTACCCTAATCACTTCTGGTATACAATGACATCCATTAACCAAATGATTGAGTCTGAGTGTCACTGGACACCTCTACAACAAGCCTGGGTTGCTAAAGACTGAGTCTTCACTGAGACTGTCAGTAGGATGTATGTTTAATATGAGATGACAGCTTGATATCAATGTATGATACTGATGCAACAAATATCCACTAAAATTATAATATTTCGCTATGCTGATTTTGCCAAAAACATTTTAATTTATCAAAATCAACAACTTCGTTGAAGTAGAGTACAGAGCCCAATCATTATGTTTTTTATTTAACAAACATAGCATTATCATATTTGGTTACGCAAATTCTCATGATAATATTCATCAACATAATCAACATCGGTACAAGCACTTATCATCAAGATATTCTCTCACCATTTCTTATCAGTGTATCTATAAATCTGGACCAGTGCTGGGGCAGTACTTGCCCTTAGTACCTACGGCTAACTTCAGTTAACAAGAATGCATTACTTTATTCCCAAACACTAGTCTTGCTGTCCCCTGCTGAAATATTGCTTAAAAGTGGCGTAAAACTAAACTCACTCACATAAGGTGAGGTGAGGTGAGGTGAAATTGGGTTTTACGTCATGCTTGAGAATATTTGGCTCATATGACGACATGCATGCATGTGTATGTGTATGTGCGGCTGCTTGTACTAGCCCAGACTTAACCTGGCTTTATAGTGCTAGCCCACTGAGATACCATGCCGCAGTGAAACATGAATACTCCACTCAGACACATTATACTGACTCCGAGTTCGACCAGTCCTTGTTGTACCCATTAATGCCGAAGCCAGGCAGGGACCAACAAGTACCATATTTTAACGCCTCTGTTGGTATGACACGGTTGGGGATCGAACTCCATGACCTTCTGCTCTCCAGGCGGACACTCTAACCACTACACCATGGAGGCGGTCACCACTTAAGGAAAGACAGACCTTAAACACAGTGATTTTCAGTAGGCATTATGTTACATTGCTCTGTCACATTGTCATTAGGACTTACCACTTGGTTGCCGGGCCATGTTGATTTGTTTAACAGATGACTGTTAACTGGAAAAAGACAAACATACAATATTTCAATATTAAAGGTTATGGTGGCTGTTGTCATTGTCATTTTAAAACATATTAAGGATGAGGACCGGACATATTGTCTGTTGAGATTTTCGAATAATGATGTATCAACATGCTTTGGTGTGGAGAGAAAGGGATGTTGTTAGCTTGACATTTTTAAAAGCAGTTAGATAATATTATGGATATATTTTTTAAGAGTTTAACCTGAGTTTTGTAACATAACAGGCTCATCGATGGTTGTTGCTCATCGATGAAGAACTATTTTCATTCTCTCATGCGGTTACTACATTTACCTCTAGGAACGATTGCTGGTCACATGAGTAATAATGTCTCTATACTTGACTGTCTCAGTGTCTCCCTGCTTACATTTACAATAACTTCATAGTTACATGGTCCTGTGGTTGAGACAAAAATATATGTCATCGTCTCACCACAATAAAGCTCTGGTGTATGAATTCTGAAAACTGTTCACGAATTTCAAGGATTCGTATGTAGGACTATTGTTGACTATTACCTTTATAGTCCAGCTCAAACTGCCTTTCAGTTAATGGGAAATGGCACAAGGGGATTCCCCAACATTCGACGCATCCTTTCCGTGTCGAGGTAAGATAAATTACCCTGAAAATATGTAACCCTCGTGTTTGGATCATATCACAATCTTTTACATAAAATAAGCATGGAAATGTTAACAATGGTACACTTGTCGGGACAAAATGTGTTGTATGTAGATGTTAGCATAAAAATACCTTACACCGTCGAACAAAATAATTTGTGTTGAGAAATAAACTGACCATTATGACAGGGTCAATAATTACCATGAACACCGCCCGTGGTTTAACGATAAATGCCGAACGCAGACTCGTTTCGGCTTGTCCCGGAATAACACGATTTGGTCACGAATGTACTCGCCTACTTGCCGGAATGACACGAGTAGTTACGAATACAATCTTTGAGTGAGCGACTCTACACAAAGATTAATGCGTTGTATGCCCGCGCAAAGCAACAATCATGGAGCCAGTTGTGAAAATCGTCACTACTATCTCTGATCTCCGTTCCAAAAACCCGGGGTCTGCTGCGCTACACTTCCATGGGAGATAACTCATCATATTTGAGATCCGGTTTATGATAAACATGCTTCGACGAAGTTTGACGTGCATTTGTCGATATTCTGGTCGACTGATGTCGCCCACTACATTACATGTAACAAGAACACTGACATCGGGCTATAGAAGTCAATATAGCATTGACAAGATATACCCAAATAGCGATCAAGATTATTTTGGCTCAACAGCATTCACGGTTGGTATATGTGTGGATAGGCTGTCCTAATTTCGATCACATTGTTTGATTCGTATGGCGGTGTTGATCAGCTGGTGTTCGACAATATTCCAGCCTTATCAGACGCCACACGTCATATTGAGTCTTGTTATTGATAGAATCGTTCAGCCGTATTTTACATGTCCATTTATCTACTTCTGGATGCAAGTAAATGGTTGCAATAGTCTCTTTAGTCTAGTACTCAGTCACGAGCAAATTCATTTGGAGTTATTTTCCAAGTCATTTTGCCACAAAACATCAGAAATACAACAACAACAAATACAAAAAATACTAAAAAAAATGATCTGGACTAACTGATTATTAAAAGTGTAGATAATGGATGAACAATGCAATGTGTTAACAACTGACTGACTGACTGAGTTTGGTTTTACGCCGCATTTAGCAATATTCCAGCAACATCACGGCGAGGAACACCAGAAATGGGCTTCACACATTGTACCCATGTCTTGATTCAACCCTTGTCTCGGGCGTGGACGAAATAACGCTTTTAACCACTAGGTTACTCCCACCGCCTTATATCAACTAAACAACTCATTGCCAGCATTACCATGAATACGAAGTAGATATGCATTATATGCAGCACTCGCAGTGAACAATGTGACCTTGTAGCAATGTGATCATACACTGTACAGTCAAAAGAGATCCTACGCTGTCTGCTGGTTTGCAATCATTTGCTTTGCAGTGTTGGTTGTACACTAACACGATGTATAATATTATAAACCAGAGACATCTAAGTTGACACTCAGGTTTTATGCGATGCAGAAATGTGCATCCAGTATGCACAAGCATACAGAATGAAAACAGAAAAAAAAGATAAACATTGCATTCTGAGGGATCCATGATAATATTCATTGTACCACATTCTTGACAAGAAATATTTAAAGGTTCTTGTAATCTTGTTCTTGTAATTATTTAATTGTACAACAGAGTACATTATACCGTTTCTTAGCTTTACAGGACCCTCATAATTAGTGATTGGAGGACATGTCGACTAGAGTTGTGACGATACAGGTTTATTGCGATACGATACGTATCACGATACACTATCTGTTTGGAAATAAAGGGAATTGGTTCATACATTTGATAACTGTAGGTCAAGTAAAAGCCCACATTAGTTTTGTATAGATAATAGTTCTTTATCAAATAAAAAAAAGAAAAGCTAACTAGTCACAAAAAACTTCAGCCATACTTTTGCTGGAAGACTTTTTATGCATTCATTGACAGCGCACAGTGGCAAAGCACTTTTCAGAGCTTTTATCAGCCCGTGTATTTTACCAATTTGATTACTAATAAAGTGATAAAGTATTTGTCAACTAACCAGAAGTGCAGCTGAATAGTTAGGCAAAATACATGGCAAATAGAATAAGATCAGCAGAGCTGTCAACCCCTAAAGATGGTTTGGAGTGAGACTGAAAAATAAGCCAGGGTCCAGCCGGGTCAAATTGAGGGCGATGCCCTGGTGGGGGTCTAGTAAAGTGAAGCGAAGCCCCAAAAAATGAAGTTTAGTGATTTTCAGGTGCATTTGGAGCCTTCTGATGGCATTATTTTGAAACTAAAAGATGCATGCTAATAAATAATAATAAGCCGAATGATTCGCATAAACATCGTTTTAGCACTTCGTTCATTCAGGCGTTCTTTCAATGTTCAACTTTATGCAAAAACGAACGAAAATGCGTATTAATTTTGAAATTATTTTTGGCTACCAGATATGAGTGAGATTATTATTTGGAGGCGTAAGAGCGTGACATTTGTCAATAAAGCGTGAGACTCACGCCAAATGCGTGAGGGTTGACAGGTATGGATCAGTGAGATACAAAACATGTGTGCCATGGTGGCAGATAGGACCAACAGAACCATAACGATGCATGCCCTCCATATCTTTAGTGTTATTTTTCAGTGGCTAGTATATCAGAAGTTGTATTTTACAGTCAAAAACACAGTGTATGAAACATGACTCCATGTTATTAGTGTATGAAATATGCCAAAAACCCAGCCACACAACAGGGATGGTTACTTCAACTTGTTACCAGCCCTAAATTGATTTAACCAGACCAGACACCAAGATACTTTTTTACCAGACCATCGGCTGACTAGCTGTAAATTTAGACCATCTGTCAGAAATCTAGCCCATCTCGGGCGGTCGAATGGGCCTTATTTCATACACTGATGTTATATGATCAGCTTTCTGCTTCATGAAATGATTAATGATTCATATTTTCAGCAATCAAGTTCAGTTCTACCGGATGGGAAAGAGCTGTTTTCAGGATATATTCCAATAAGTATGTAGAAATAACCTTTCAGAATCCTAAGATTCCTAATGTGTATATTCGGGGAATGTCAATGTGTATATGGTAGGGACCAGTCGTTATCAGAAGTCCCTTGTACATCTCCCCAGTCCCTGAAGTATTCTTCTCTAGGTCCACCAAAATATTTATAGACAGTTTATTTTCAAAGGTAACGGACTAGACTAGACAGCACCTATTTATACACATAGCAATTATCTCATGGATAGTACTCCATAGGAGGATCATTCCTGTTAAACAAATCATTGAAGGTGAGGTGAGGTGAAATGGGGTTTAACATCATACTTGAGAATATTTCGCTCATATGACGACGTGCATGCGTGTGTATGTGTATGTGCAGCTGCTTGTACTAGCCCAGACTTAGGCTGGTTTTATAGTGCTAGCCCACTGAGATACCATGCTGCAGTGAAGCATGAATACCCCCCTCAGACACATTATACGGACTCCGAGCTCACCAGTCCTTATTGTACCCATAAATGCCGAGAGCCAGGCAGGGACCAACAAGTACCACAGTTTAACGTCTTTTGGTATGACGAGGCCGGGGATCAAACCCACGACCTTCCAATCTCCGCTCTTCTTGAATAAGAATACAATGAGAAGAGTGTCATGCACTACACGATCACATGTGCATAATTTGTATATTAGTATGCATATCATGATTGTAACCTCAACAAGCACCGCAAGTATAGTTGTGTTATTTTCATGCATTTAGAACACGAGTATGTCACTCATATAAAGCATTATTGATCTAAATACCTATAAACAAGATAAATGTTTATTGTAAAAATATAAAATTGTTATTTCCATGCCTCATTTTGGCAAGCAAGTGATATAGTATGCAGACTTGGTTGTGTTACGATATATTATCCACAGATTATTTACTGAAGTCACAGATTTTTATCGATTGTCAGTCTTTATTCTGTTGTTCTGTTATTTCCTATTGTAGATAAACTTGACATCAAGTATTCTAGGGGAAGTGGCCCAGGAGGTCAGAACGTCAACAAAGGTCTGTCTGATTTTCCATAAAATATATATATTCATTGCCTATAGTATAGTAAAGTATATTTAAGTTCAAGTGAAGAAATCAGCCAGTTGTTAATATTCCCTAAAGACAGAACATAGGTAACAGTCATATTAATTTCACATATTGTTACCACCAATTTCACCATCATAACTATGTAGTTCGTTCTGACATGTTCTGTTGTCAAATCTTATTAGAGATGTCACGATACATAAGTTTCATACGTATCACGATACCCATTTCATGATTCGATACGTATCACAATACCTGTTTTCGCGGCATTATTGCGTAAATTTAGTTACATTTTGAACATTAATATTTCATATTTTATAATTGTCCATGAAAAAATCAAGATTTTTTATACTCAGAGATTAAAAAGTTCAAATTTCCCATTTTTGTGGATGAAAAATAATCGTTTATAATTCTCATAACATCAAATAACATGATACAATTGCAAAATGTAAATGATACATAAACATATTTAAACTGATACTTTCAAAACTAAATATCGATACAGTTTTGAATGTATCGATAATTGTATCGTCTTAGAAAAAGTATCAAAGAATCGATGTATCGATGTAGTGTGGCATCCCTACTTATTAAGTCATTTCTTATTGCACACTTAAGGATACTCAAATATTCTCTAAAGATTGAACGGAGGAGCAGGTCATATCAAGTTGACATATTGCTAGAGTGACTTTCACCATCTTGACCATGCTGCTTTTATTGTCTAATCTCATTAACATTGGTTCTAGGTGGTCATTACCGCAGTACAAAGATCACAAGACACAATAATGATCCCATTACAGATCATGTCTGAATGTTCTTTGGCAACACCTGTGAAGATCCAGGTTAGAATTGATCTTCAGCAAGCAATGCTTGTCAAAAGAGGCAGCTAAGGGGATCGGATAGTTGGGATCGCTGACTTGGTTGACACTTTTCATTACGTCCAAGTTGTGTAGATAGATGATCATGCTGTTGATCACTGGATTGTCTGTTTCAGACTTGATATTTACACACTGCCATCATATAGCTGGAATAGTGCTGAGTACGGTGTAAAACTAACCTCACTCACTCATTCACTCCTTCAGATGAAAAGTCATCTCCTGAAATAAGTTGTGTGTAGATTTGTGTGTGGTATTAGTGTACATTAGGATCTGTTGCCTGTATGGTGACTGTATGGTTGCAGTGAACACCAAGGTTGAGGTTCGGTTCCATGTGGAGAGTGCTGACTGGATACCTCAGTGGATCAGAGAGAGACTCCTGGAGAAGGTGGGTTATCTCCCCTCCCCTCCAAACTATAGATTGAAAGCTTAGATGACAAATGTCACAATATAATACACTCTTTAACACAAGAATTGGGAATACTCAGAAATGAATAAAAATTTCCAAACTTTGAAATGTCTCAATCAGAAATGATGCCCTACTCCCATCTGTGGGGCTACTGCATGAGACACATGCACCCTATCAGACTGTGTTTTGGTGTTCAGTTCTACAGACATCAATCATGACAGGATATATATCATCAACAATTATCTTGATCAAGCACTTGATATCATACATGTATCCCTTACTATTTTTGGAGAGTACATGTTATTGTATGACAGGATGTAAGATACCGCAGAACTATCATAGAGGTGAGGTGAAAGTTTGTTTAACGTCGTGCTTGAGAATATTTCGCTCATATGACTACGTGCATGCCGTTGTATGTGTATGTGCGGCTGCTTGTACTAGCCCAGACTTAAGCTGGTTTTATAGTGCTAGCCCACTGAGATACCATGCCGTAGTGAAGCATGAATACCCCACTCAGACACATTATACTGACTCCGAACCGACCAGTCCTTGCTGTGCATGTTAATGACGAGCGCCAGACAGGGACCAGCAAGTACCACAGTTTAACGTCTTTTGGTATGACACGGTCGGGGATCGAACCCACGACCTTCCGCTCTCTGGGCGGGCGCTCTAACCACTACACGGTACACCATGGAGGCGGTGACTATCATAGAGACTAAAACCATTCAATCCCATGTGGCTCATATCCTTCAATCCGGATGTGAAGATCAACATCACTGACAAGAGTCGGAATCAGGAGACATTTCAGATGAGCTGGAAGGTGTCTGGGCTTCTCAGTTCCCACTTTCAGCAACCCGTGAAGATCCGGGTTAGAATTGATCTTCAGTAACCCATGCTTGTCATAAGAGGCAACTAACTGGATTGGGTGGTCAGACTCGCTGATTTGGTTAACACAATGTCCAGTCATCGTATCCCAATTGTGTGAATCAGTGCTCATGCTGTTGATCACTGGTTTGTCTGGTCCAGACTTGATTATCTATAGACCGCCGCCATATAGTTGGAATATTGCTGAGTGTGGGGTAAAACTAAACTCACTCACTCACTCACTACACAGGAGGCTGGTAGGATCACCAAGGGAGGCTATCTGGTCGTGACCTCGGATGCTACAAGGAAACAGATGTTGAACCAGGCGGATTGCATGGAGAAAATACGTACAGTCATCTTCGGGGCAGGTGAACTTCCTCGTGAGCTCACAGAGCAGGAGAAGACTGTGAGAGACAGGAGGTATTAAATCTGTTTAACGAACTCACATTTTAAGTTGAAAGTCTTCAGTAACCCATGCCTGTTGTAAGAGGCGACTATCGGGTGGTCTGGGATCCTGACTTGGCTGACATATGTCATCGTATCCCAGCTGCGTAGATTGATGCTCATACTGTTGATCACTGGATTGTCTGGTCCAGACCTGATTATTTACAGACAACTGCCATATAGCTGGAATATTGCCGAGTGTGGCATTAATCAACAACCAACCTTATAATGTACTTGTACATTATAAACAATACAGAAGCAAAACGCCCATTTGACCATGTTTTGGCAATGTGAGTAGATGTGTCTAGCTGACATGCAGTCAGAATTTGTGAAGAAAGTTTGCTTTGTTGTGTGATGGTTTCTACATCAAGGTTGGAAAAATTATTCAGCCAAAATATTCCATGTAGATTCCAGGTCGGAACTGGCTATGAATGAGATGTCAATATTGATCTTGTGGCAGGGTTGTTGGCTTGATCGCCTGTCATTGGGATGGTATCTGGTGTGGCTCACTAATTTGTCAGATCCAGTCCCTGTTATGTGCAGGTGTTTGTGACCTGCAAAATTGCAATGGAAGTTTTGTTTTGGAAATTGTGCCCAGTAACCTGTGTTCAAAATGTTACAAAAATGTATCCTTTGACTTGTCGTGTCATAACAGGACACCTAGTTNGGAATCCGATGGGCGGGTACAGCAACGTGCAGTGACTGTGTCCCAGTCCACCCAGCTGTCAGTGGGTACCTCGTTAGGATGAGAAAGCCACAATAACTCGCTGCGCCTAGTGGCAGCAAGAGTTTTATACTCCCCAGCGACTTGAGATTGATAATATGATGTGCCGTTGAGATTGACATCCGATGATCGAGGGGAAAAATACCAGAGCCTTGAGCATGCATTAGTTGCATGGATATGTGCGCTATAAAGATATCCTATAATAATAATAATAATAATAATAATAATAATAAGCAGAAGGCTGCAGTGTTGGGGAGCCTTCATATTCTCCGGAAAGTTCTTGGTGGGTTCGACTAGGCAGCGTTTCCTGGGAGAAGTCCCATTCGCTGTCTGGGCTGCGTGTAGAGGGGGCGAGGGCCCTGAGCTGATGATGAGCCTTACCAGCCTGACTGTGCCAGGATCACCTGAACCCTCTCTGCTGCATACAATCTTTAATCTGTAAAACATAATAAAAAAAGAAAAAGATGGTGACTTGTAAGTAACCAAGTCGGGACCAAGTCCCGGTAGTGATATTGTGAGCACCAATCCACAAAGCCACTCAGATGGACCACCTAATCCAGCTGGCCACCCATGATGACCAGTATTGGCTGCTGGGGGCATGTTCCATCTAACCATGAATTACGCAAGATCAAAGCAGTTACTGATCGCTCCAGTATTGAAAATCTTGAAAGAATGAACAATAAGTTAGAATCTGTAACTGAATCATGTCTGCAACTTAATTTTTGACAGACTGATGGAAAAAAATGTGGATTTATGATTGTTGTGTAATTCAGTATTTTATTCAAGCGGTGGGCGGAACCTATGTGAGGTGGTGGGGTAATTTAGTAGTTAAAGTGTTCGCTTGTTACACTGAAGACCTGGGTTCGATTACCCACATGGGTACAATGTTGAAGTTCATTTCTGGTGTCCCCTGCCATGATGTTGCTGGAATATTGCTAAAAGCAGCATAAAACTATACTCAACCAAGCCTATGTGATTAATGAAGTGGGCACTTTGACTGGTGCTTGTTTCAGGATGGCTAAGGCAAAGCAGGCAATGCTGAAGGAGAAAAGACACCACTCTCTCAAGAAACAACATCGCCAGACTCCAAATGTTGGTGGTTCCTGACAACAGAAGACTTGAGCATCATAGTGTGTGTGTGAGAGAGAGTGTAGTCCATCGTGTGATGGAGATGATGAACAAGTGATTATTGACCACCTGAAGGAGTTTTGATTCTGTCATTCAGACTTTGTGTACCATCAGATGTATGGATCTGTGTCATGATGACTCAATCCGATTGTAGCCCTATTAATTAAACAAATACATGTACCTGCAGTGTCTGTTTTGGGAATTTAATTGAGAGCACAAAATAGAATGTATTATTAAAGCGGAATATGGGTTATTAAATTTGAGCTCTGTCACAAACATCAAACCCGGTCTATACACAACTAATGTCACACACCTTTATTCAAGTTCTGTTTTGGGAATTGGGGGAGTGATATGCAAATGTTTTATACAAGCAAAATGTTTAGTTTTAGAAATTTATTGCACAAAATAGAATGTATTATTAAGGCCGAATATTTAGTTTAAGAAATTTGAGCTCTGCATCTGTCACAAATGTCAAAACAAATCTAGTTAAAACAACACGACAGCAAATTTTACAATTTTATGTTTCTGAAGGACAAATGGTCTCGGATAGAAGTGAATTTTCTCCCTTCTATTAGCCAGAGTAAGTATTACAGAGTTATCTCCCTTCACTGAAAACAAAAATAATATCGTCTCACTTTGTCCGGTCACTTTGTCCGGTGTACTTTAACAATACAGCAGTGTTTGGTTTTTTAAAGTGATTCAGGTTAATCCTTCCAGCTTGTACAAGTATTGTATGCTGCAATAAGACTGGTAGAGATTACCAGAATAATTTACACAACAACAGTTAAAATCCCATTACAATAAACTCAAAAATCATTTAGAATTTACAATATTTCTATTATAGCACATTTCCTGACATTGTTGGTATATAGAAACTGTTAATCCCACGCAAACAATACAAAACTATAATGTTGAAAAATGTAATCAAAATATATAAAAATATATGCCTTCCAACATTTACATGATCCTTTGGTACAGTTATTCTGATTGTTGTCAACAAAGCATAACTGTGATCTTTTTGGTCTTCCACTTATGTTCGGTTAACAAATTCTGTGGTACTTCTGATAATATAATTAAATATCATCACAACATAAGCTGACCATGTCTAGACGAAGGATTCACAAAATTGCTGAATGAATAACATAAATTCACTACCGACACAAAGACCACAAAACACAGAGTAATACTATATATAAATACAAAATAGTAAGCTGATCACAAGAATACATACTTTCTGGAGTTCTGAAACAGCAGTGTACACATGACTCAACATGCCTTGCTGGGGAATGTGGCCTGTGATTGATTACAATGACATACCTGAAGGAATAAGTAATGAACAGCAGATCAGGTCCCTGTCATCTATTTATTTGATTCCCCCAACATGGCAGCAACAGGAATCCCTTTGACAAATTTTTTCATCAAGTAGTTGCCACTTGATAATTAAATTTTCAACCATCTTTCAATTGACATCATTAGATTGGTTCAATATTTGACAGTTACGGGGACCTGACTTCTGGTGAATTTGTTTATGAAACACCAGAGAAAATACAGGTAGTTTGACAGGGCTAACATTCCAATTTCAGGAAATGACTTTTGCAGTGTATGCTGGAAACAGGCGGGTTCATATACTGCAAGGGAGACAAGAATATGTTATGTTATGACAGGCTACATTTATAATAGTTATCAACAACTGACAATATGTTTCCCTCTAAAATAGAATATACCTGACTTCCCACACTAACCTTTTGATCTGTGATGTAAATTTTTGATGTGACGTGTTACATTTCAGATTACACATCCACATTACACATACAGATTCTAGTACATTTTCAGGTTGAATACCATCCGGGAATACCCACACTCTCAGAGTCCTAATCACTAGCACACAAAGTCAGCCATCTAACCCACTCATCCAGCCCTTTCTGAAAGGTATTCATAACACTGATATAACCCTTACAGACCCAATTAGCTTAATGTCAAACTGTATCCTTCGTTCTCGTTTCCAGTTCAGCTCTTTTTAAAATGATGTAAACATTAAAGGTCATTCATTACATTGTGACTGTTTCTTTACTTTGAATATGTGCAATTCCTGAATTTAACACTGGGATTAATAATGGCTTCATAATTTGGTAACCAAAGTGACTACTTTTCATTATCAAGCTCGGGGTTTAACTGCGGGAATTCCATACTAGTTTTATATCCCAGCTGTTCGAAATCAAATTCCTCATCAAAGTATTCATCCATTCATATGTTCTTTAGAATCATCTGTTTCTAAAAATATACCTGACTCCCCACACTCCATCTTCGATCTGTGGCCAGTGTGTATCTTTGGCAAGGGCCATGGTATGTCACCCCTATACTACTCACTGCCCGCCTGGACACCCGACCTGGGGGAGGGGCAAGCAAACCTACCATCCTACGTTCATAATATAGTGGACGTTCTGTGAATCTGATGAGATACCACATACAGTTTACCATGGATACCCTACTAAGACACAGCCTACTGACACCAAGCTGTCCTTGCCTTATCATATCAATGCTGAACAACAGGATACCCTACTAAGACACAGCCTACTGACACCAAGCTGTCCTTGCCTTATCATATCAATGCTGAACAACAGGATGTCCTCCTAAGACACAGCCCACTGACACCAAGCTGTCCTTGCCTTATCATATCAATGCTGAACAACAGGACACCCTACTAAGACACAGGCTACTGACACCAAGCTGTCCTTGCCTTATCATATCAATGCTGAACAACAGGATACCCTACTAAGACACAGCCCACTGACACCAAGCTGTCCTTGCCTTATCATATCAATGCTGAACAACAGGATGTCCTCCTAAGACACAGCCTACTGACACCAAGCTGTCCTTGCCTTATCATATCAATGCTACTGAACAACAGGACACCCTACTAAGACACAGGCTACTGACACCAAGCTGTCCTTGCCTTATCATATCAATGCTGAACAACAGGATACCCTACTAAGACACAGCCTACTGACACCAAGCTGTCCTTGCCTTATCATATCAATGCTGAACAACAGGACACCCTACTAAGACACAGCCTAGTGACACCAAACTGTCCTTGCCATATCATATCAATGCTGAACAACAGGACACCCTACTAAGACACAGCCTACTGACACCAAGCTGTCCTTGCCTTATCATATCAATGCTGAACAGGTAGGGCAACAACAAGTACCACATTTAGAATGATGTATCTAATCAGTGACTTCACTCGCTGGTAGAGCTCTGTCCACGAGTACCTGGAAGAAGTCACTGACGAGAACGTTCTATTGTGTTATGGAACTTATTTCTATGATCAGTTATCAAATCCAAACAGTATCCAATCTGATCAAAATCTATATCTGTACTGATCTGTTATACTGGAATTCTAGTATTTGAGTTAGGCTACACACGTACATTGAGTCATGACTGTCTACATACAATCCCCGTGGATAATCAACCATGTCTCGATATTCTCTGACAAACTCCCTCGACTCTGTCAGCTGTATCACCTTGCCCCAGTCTACAACCAGGATGTCTCCTGTCGTGGTAGTTGTGATACTATGAGGACTGCAGAGTGCTCTGTCTCCGGCAGAGGCGTGTCTCCACACAACATCCCCCTCTGACGTCAGACATGTCACAGACCTCTTCCCATAGTCAGACACGAGTAGGTTGCCCTTGTTGTTGACACACATGTAGAAGGGACAGGCAAACAGTGAGTCGCCATTGTATGTAGTGACTGACCTCAACACGTGTCCAGCCATGTCCAGGATATCAACACAGTTCCTGGTACCTGCTGCTAGAGATGAAGGATTCAGAACAGCCAGACTGAAGTATTCGGTATGTGTTGTGATGGTTGAGAGCAGCACCAGGTCAGGGGTCCCTTCTATTGTTACAATCTGATGGGATTCTGGGACAGCAACTATCACCTGCTTCTCATTCAACTGTGTTATCCCATGTGGAGTGTTATCCAGGGGAAGCCTACTGTGGCATGAATGATTATTTCTTGTGAAGTGTGATTTCACACACTTGTTATTATAGTCCGTAACAACACATGTCTGTACACCATCTACAACCAGAACTGTCACATCAAATAGAAGAGGGTCTTTCTCATCACCCTCCATCCTCACATCTATCGTGTCACCCAGCACTAGAGATGGCAGACATTTACCCTGATCCTGGTATGTGACGTCAATCTTCCCCAACTGCAGGTTATCTAAGACCTTCAGAACATTGTATGGTGTAAACCTGATGCCATCTATTCTCCGGGTGTCTGCTGTCTCTGTATCCCTGACATCCTCCATCTCTACAGCTCCAGACTCCCAGGCCTGATACGCGTCATACAGGTCCATCTCACAGTCCGATACCAAGGCCTGGTCAATGAACTCACAATGTTGTCTGTACAACTGCATCTCGATCTCTTCAAGTTTAATATCTGCCTTAAGTTGCTGTGTTTGCTTGTCTGTAATGCCCTTGACTTCATTCATCAGCTGTTTTTCTTTCTGTTTGATGTTGGCGATGACTCTCTCAACAACAGATTTGATGTGACCTTGTACAGCTACTTTAGTTTTCTCTATTCCTCTAATTTTCTTGTGCGTTTTCCGAATCAACGTTTGCTTTTTGCTTACTTTCTTTGTCAGTACATTCGTGCTCTTTCTCAGATGGTACTTCATGGTTGGCATCAATGACTCCATGGTAACGACAGACTCACATTTCCTGTGGTGAAGCACGCAGCATGTCTGACACACGGCTTTGTGACAGTCTTTACAGACGAACTTTATAACCTCACCCTTGTGTTCCGGACATACAGCCTTGCGTCTTCTCTTGACCTTGACCTCTCCTGAAAGGTCACACATGTCATGGTCATGTGATGCTGGATTTGCACGATGCATCTTGACACATCTTTTGCAGAGGAACACTTCACACTCAGAACACCATAAGGCTCCTCGAGTTGTCTCCCCTAACTTCTCACACAGCGAGCAACACGAAACAGTACCTGAAAGTGGACATGTCTTTGGTAACTTAACATTTCACAATAATATGTTCATAAGCTTGTACAATCGACCTTGCTTTCAGTAGATATTTCTTATGGATGTGGAAAGGGTTTTGTCGCTTCGATTACAGATTGAGAAATCCAAGTATAATCATTCAGGACTATTTTAAGGCAT